CAGCGCATTTCTACACAATCTGGGGAGGGACAGTGAGTGAGAAAAACAAAGTGGCGAGAGGAAACCCGGACTCCAAGAGGGCCACTGAGTTGGAAATCCAGGCCATGGTACCTTGTTACCCCTTGACGGCCATTCTGAGAGCAGCAAACGTCACTTCCATCGATTTCTTCAGTCTGGACTTGGAGGGACTTGAGCTGAAAGTGCTCCGGACTATTGACTGGGACTTGATCAAAATCAAGGTATTTTTATCCATGTCCAGAATAGACCAGGATTGATTGTCCTAGTGGGGCGAGACCTTGGATATTTCTAGAGTATAATCACCACCGTGAACTAGTTTTCTGATTTAGATCTAGCTCATGATGTTCTGAAGTCCTGGTATTTTTCAGATTTTTAAAGTTTTTTTTCATGATGACACCAAGTCAAAACTTTGAAGTTCATGTCAGAGTTCTCTGCTGTTCCTGTCACAGGGCGGTGCTAAACATTCTAGCTATATGACAATTTAAATGGGTTCACTGTTCTAAAAATTTATTTTTGGCATCTTGGGAAATTTTCACATTTTTCCAATCAATTTTTTTTCACAACAAATAAAAAAACACAAAAATGTTTTTCTGTCCTCTCAACAAAGCATGGGTTCATTTTTCTGTTTTTAAAATTCTTCTTCGATAAGAACATCATTCAAGGCATTTTTTCTGCCAGGGATATTTTTCTCATAGTCTTGAAGTTTTATGATTTTTTTTAAGTATTCAAGTAAATATATACAATCATATCCTTATGAATTGAATTTCAAGAGGGGACCAGAAGCAAAGAATATGATATTCCAATAAGAGTTATATGGAAACTAAAACTAAGCAGATACATTTATTGGCAACAAAATATATAATGAGAATTATGGACTGAAAATATAATGCAAAACTGTATACTCTCCATAAGGACAGCTTAATTCTTCAAATATTGAGGAAACAGGAAAATTGATTTGTCACAGCTCAAGATATATTCATAATTTGAAAAGAAAATCCTATAAAGCCCACTCCCCACTGTAAGAACCCTAATTTTATCTAACAAGAATTTAATTATTCAATCATCTGCGAAGAAAATGGTCAAATGCCAGAAACCATGCAGTGCATATACATAAAATGAGTCTGAATGTCTGATACAGGGAGAAGCTCATTTGAGAATTTTTGCTTCCATGATTACACTTGCTCAATTTGTCCTTCCCAAGTTACAGATTATGATTTCTTGCCATTTGAAATTCTTGAGTTTGAGAGGTTCACATTTGGATGATATTTTCAGCACTGAGGAGGTTCAGGTTACACTGTCTTCAAGGGAATTTATAAAATTACTCACACATATAAAAACATATGAATGATGGGTGGGTTTTTCACTCATAGGAAGGACTGCTTTGAACAGCACCTGAAGTGCTGCCAAATGATTGGGCTATATGAGTAAAAACCACAAGTTTGAAATTGTTGAAACTCTGCTGGATCCATTTCAAACATTTTCAAAATTATACTGCATTGAATTGAATTCAACAGCAAGCTTTATTTTCCACTTTTCAGTGTTCATCAGCAGAAGGTTCAAGCAAGATTCCCACACCAAAACCTCCCTCCCATCTTCACCCACATTCATCCCAACACATTCCATCTCAACAGATTGGAAGTAGCAAAAAAGCTGTATATTGATTTTAAAAGAAAATAAAATACATCCCAAAATGTACAAATTCACAAATGATGTGAATACATACACTTTCCTTCCCTCCCTGATGATAGAAAAAATAGAATATCAATAATAAAATTGAGGCATATGCCAATTACTGAACCCCATTTAAAGCACGAGATTTTCAGCCAGCTCCCAGATAACTTTCAATTATTTAAACAATTTGGAGAGTATCTCTCATGAGAAATCATATAAAGTTTTTTTATCTTGGTCCTCTAAGATTTTGGAAAGAGTGTTTTCATTGGATTTTAGGAGCCCCAAATATTTTTGAAGCTCATTTCTGTAGCTGTGGAATGCTGGGCATAAGAAAAGAAGTGTGGTACTCTGGTGATGCATTAACCAATGTATTTATCTTGCAGAAATTACAAATACTCGTAAATGGAGGGTTGACTTTATCATAGAAAGTCCAGCAGCAGTAATTAAGATACATTCATGCATTTAATTATGAAACATTAACTGGAGTGATTTCTCTGATGCGGGATTTTTTTTTTCAGGTGATCCACTTGGACTTGCTCCACACTGAGGAAGGCGAAGATGCTGTTCACGAATATTTGAAATCCAAGGGTTACGTACACGTTCACGGGAGAGGAGAACCCGTTTTGTTTGTGCAGAAGGACTATTTGAATTTGTTGAAAAAGGCAACTTCATCAGCATGATTTCATCATGCTGCCTAAAGTCTGAAGAAGCCATATTCTGTATCTGGAATTTCCCAAGTTTTTTTTTGTCTCGTATAATAAGCTAAGGCATTCCTCCAAAATTTGCGCCTTTTTTTTATCAAATTCAAGCAGCATTCAGTTATGACCCATTTCTCAAATTTCGAGCAATAAATGCCGTAGTAAAAACAAAATGATACACCTCAACTTATTAATTAGTAGAGTTACATAATGGTTGGACATCTAACATGTATTGAATGATTATTTGATAGCTTCTATGCAATCTGCTTGTCAGCTTTACATCCTTCCTTTGACAATAAATCACTGATTTGTCCATAACCTGACATTTAAGCTGGAATTCGAATTTAACTGGCAACTTTTTTAATTTGTCTTTTTCTATGTATAGTGTGAACAAACCCTTCTAATTTTTTGCAAGGGCAAAAAAAAAGGTGTACAAATACTTCTGCTAGCTGTCTCAACCAAGCAAAGATACAAGAGTATTAATGTTTTCTTAAAGAATCCAAGTTGTGTTGCAGTTGTGATCTTTATTTGCAGGATAGTTACTTATGAGTCATATTTCATATTATTTATTTCCAGGCCATGCAAATGAACAGTAAGCACAGTATTTTATCTGCTGATCATGCACCTGCTTGTGGTGGATCTGAATGAGTGAAATGCTCCCTCATGTATGAATAACAGAACAGATCTATATGTGAAAATGGACTCTTGATACAATGAAATTCAGGGGATCAGAAAATAATTTTTTTATTCTGAAGAACCCCAAGTACATGTGGAGAAAATCATATGATACCAAGAAAGAAAAATTGTATGCAGAAAATCCTTGTGGACAAGATTCTTGTGGAGAAAGTCCACCTGTATTTTCTTCCAGCACAAAAACTGACATCCATTATTGATCAGCAGAACAATGCTGGTTTAATGCTGGTTCTGTACTTTTTGAGAGGTGTGCTTCTGTATGAGTTATTATGTTTGTGATTTGTTCTATGCATGCTGTTAAAAACTGAGTGATTTTTCTCCTGATGTAAAAAATACCTGAAATACAGACTTTCTTCTGTGCAAAAGACCAAATTTATTCACTGATTGGTTTTCTGAAATCTCATCTTCTGCTTCAAATGATAATAATATATGCTCTCATATTTTTGGACCAGGGGCAAATTATTGTATTTACTCAAAAGCTAGGCGTCCCTTTTTTTCTCAACATTGAAAGAAAAAATGTGGGTTCAGCTCATACATATATATATTGTATATGTCATACAGCAGCTTATTCAGTTATCTTTCAACTTATTCAGAAGTTTAGATGCTGTTCATTAAATTTGATTCAATAATGGAAAGTTGTGGACCACTTTCAACAAAATTGTGTTGGGAAAAATTAAAAATTAGCTTGTATTACAAAACTTAAAATAATTAAAAGTTAGTGTCAAAATTTGAACATTCTTGAATCACTGAAGTGATGACGAAATGTGACTTTTATTGTTCCATTATATGTACTCCTGCTGGTACTGTATTGGCCATATACTGTATAGTCATACTACCAATAACTTTGAAGTTACCAAGAGAATTTATTGGTTTATTCTTATTTTGAGGACTTCTGCTTATTGTGATGATGATGAAACGGGAAGTCATTGAAAATTGGCCAACAATGACAAATAAAGTGATCTGGCAGGCCATTGTGCTTATTGATATGAGCAAAACTGATTTTGATCAATGAGGTTAGTCATCCATACCAAACAAATTTGCATGCATGAGCCATAAGATAATGACACCTGTAAAGTTTGCATTGGGATTTTTGAAATGGGTAAACATCCCAGCACTGCTCAAATACATTTTTATCACTTCTGACCCCCCTCCTGAATTTTGGGATTTTTTGCATGCACCCTCCTTCTTGAAGGCAGCATAAAATTTGCTGGTTAAATTACTGCTTGTCCTTGCACCCCATTTAACCCTAAAACAGCTCTGGAGAACAGCAGCCTTGTGGAAGGGTTGCCCAACAACTTTTTTTTTGGGAAGTTTTCAGTTATATGGTTCTTATTGTGACCAAGCCATAGTACTTGGAGAGTAATAATGAGAAGACCCAAACTCTCAACCCTTTGAAAGTGGAGAGTTCCTTTGCATTGCACAGAGGAGATGGGATTTTTGGTGGCAGATTTCAGTTTGACCCAAGGTCACTGAAATGCTCCCAGGTTAGAAGGCAGTCAGGAAAAATCTGGGAGGCAAAGTTCAATTCTTTCCAGGAATCTCCCATGCAAATCATGCACCAGGAATGCAGGAAAAAATGCCACCAAGGGGGTTTTTTCATTAAAAATTTTCTGTAGGATTAGAAAAAATTTTTTGGGATTTCTTCCCAACTTAGGCCTTGGTACATAAGTACGATTTTTCAGTCCCCAGTGCTCAGTGACACAACATTTTGCAAAAATGTCCCAACTTCGCTGCAGAAGGGTTAATCAAAGGGATTAGCTTTCTAATTTAAGTTCTTTTGTAATAACCTAAGAGTAGACCGTACCCGTCGTTGTCTCGATTTTTTTTGGTAAGACGTATAAAATTTTTTTAAACTTCTGTAAGTCACTTTGTAATGAAGTTACGAAAGGAACCCCCCAAAAAAATGTCAAGTACTGTACCTTCTTGATCAGTTCAACATAAATTTATTACTTCACTGAACTCATTGCCTCAATAGTTCATCAGAATGCTGCATGCAATTCCATTTCAAAAACATTCCAGCAGCTATAGCCCTCGAAAAACATAAGATACTTCATCATCACATCATCAATTCCATGCCAAAGCTCTATGACCGAATCATATCATAACAGAAACAACCAATTCTTCCCGTTCAAATACTGTATTCATGACATCGAAATCAACTCTTCGCTATGCAGAAAAAAAAAAGATCTGCGGTCGTCAATAATTAATCTCAACTATTCCGATGATAAACGGGATAAATTCAGAAAACGCAACGAGTCAAATTATCTCGAACAAAAGACAACATCCCAGTCCTTCACGTTACAGCAACTCCTTAAAATTCGCAGTAATTCCAAAAGTCGAAAAGATTGACACCTCCCTAAAAAAAAAATTTATATCGGCACTCGAAATGTCCGAAAGTCGAGCACCTCAAGAGGATATCACATCCGCAAGCAACCAGGAAAAAACCGTCATAAAGCACGATGAGACGTTCGCATTTCTCTAAACTCCGAAAACGCATTCAATCAATCTCGGCATCACTGCGAAATTCAGCAGACAAATGCCCTCCAGCAGCAAAGGTCAGACATTCGCGGGTTGTTCGGCATCAATGTTAAGGTGGTGGTCAGTGAGTATTCCTCGACCCTTGAGCTTCCATTCTTCACTCGCAAGCGCTCGAACCTTGATCAGCTCAATAAGATGCAAACTGGTGCATTCCGTACTATGCAAGTACTCTTTCAAGGTCTGCAAGAAAATGAAAATAAACAGTCGTGAGTTTGGCTCCATGAGAAAATCTCCCCCAACATCAATTTGTGCATCAGAAAAATCCTCTTTTGAAACCCACAACAAACAACTGTTTACTGCAAACAAGTTCTAAATAATGAATCAAGTCTGAACGCAGTCTGACAGTCAAATTTCAAGCTGAAATCAATAATGCAGCTATCACAACTTTGCAAAGTTATCCAGCTTTTTTCTCCTCTACGTTTAGCTTATTTCATTATTTCGTAATTTTGTTTAGTCTTTGTGAAATTACATTTATTACAGCAATTTCTTTAAAATGTTGGCTATTATAGAATATGAGAAGCCTTAGTGAAAATTTAAAAAAAATTTGATGCACTACAATATTTGAAGATTGAAAATTATTAATTCTGCTCAATTTGTAATTTTCGCGAATATGAATACAGTCCAGTACAGGATGAAATCGTATGATCAAACCAATTAACCAATCATCATAAAAGTATGAATTCAATTTTTGCAAATATGCAGTCCAGTGCATAATAAAATCATACTTCACCATTCTCTAGAGAAACGTTGGATTCCTAAACTTACATGAATGTTCCGACGGCAAACCGAAAGACAACCTTTCCAAATTTTATAAATCCACGGGATTTTCACCAGCATCCGTTGAGATTTTATCAAACAAAAAAAAAAAAAAACAGATTCCAGGTCACAAACCTCCAGAGCAACTTCTTCCTCGACGATTTTCGCGTTCATGGGCTTGTCTAAAATGCAAGCAATGAGCGTGGGATATAAGATCTTCTTCCTGGAATTATCCGTGAAATACGGCAGCGGCAGGGAACAGAGTTGATGCAAAACGCTGGGCATTTGACCGCTCTGAATGATGCTCTGAAAAAATAGAGAGAAGAATAGCAAAATTAAATTCTCAAACTTGGAAAGCTCATTTAAATACCCCCGAATCCTGTCTTCAGAACAAAACAAAACAACGTCCCGAAAATTAACCAAAATTGCGAAATGTTTCATGTTTATAAAAATAACTGTATAATATTTAAAAGGCCTAAAAAAAATAAAGTAAAATGTTGTTACAACTATCAGGAATCTGATGAAAATTCGTTTTAATGGAAAATCCATCATATCGAGATTCACGGCCAAAAACATTGTGAAGTACTTCTGCAACATATATTTAGAAGACTTGCCATTATTTCGAACTCTGATGAAATTCAATGGGTACATTCTCAAATGAAATTCTCTTACATTGAAGCTGCTTCGCTTCAAATTCCCTGATCCTGTGCTGATCTTGAAAAATAAAATGATACAAAAGTCAGGCACAAGAACTACCCCATTCCAAAATCAACTTGTTCAAGCACGTTTCTTTGGTATTTAAATACGAGGTACGAAATCAACTTGTTCAAACACGTTTCTTTGGTATTTAAATACGAGGTACATTTGGCTGTTCATTTTAAAAAAAAAAAGCCATCGCAAAATTCTCAAAAGAGCCTGAATTAAGTCCAAGAAAAACATCAAGCCTTGTATTTTTCAAATAATGTACTAAATTTTCATTTTCAAAATTCTTTGACTTCTACATGAACTTCCGGAGGTTCATAAGTTGAATTTTTCCCAATTTTTCACGCCATGAAATCATCCTTTTGACCTATTCTTAAGAAATAAAGCAAAAAAATCGTTATTAGATTTCAGCCAAAAATTAGTTGTTGAAACGAAATTATTTCAACATTGTTCAAATATGAAGAAACTGCAGGGACCAAGAAAAAAAAAGTTTTACAACGAAACGAGATTTATTGCAACGGAATTTTACTGTCAAAAGTTTATCGATTAGTTTACATACTCCACGCCTGCACCTTTAATCTATCCTTGTACGAAAAATGTCATCACAAAAGCAAAATCAACACAAATTCGGACAAGTCTGCGTAAATTTGAAATGAAACTGCGAAAGTCAGCAGTTAAATCATACATACACACACACAAAAAAAATGATAAGAACTGGAAGAGTGAAAACAAAAAGCGCAGATGAGCTCACTTGATTTTCCGCGTTGCCCACGGCAAAATATCCAATCAGCCAAATGACACTCTTTAGCAAGTCCTCTTTTCGAACACTAGTGTCGTCCTCGTGAGGCCACTGCGAACAGTACCACAAAAGGTACGAGGCAATGTGACGAAACTGCAAATTCAGTCCTTCAGCTCCCAGGACACCCTGGAGATGAAAAAATCTTTTTCTTCAACAGATGCTGGTCCGCAGACTACATGTTATTGCAGACAACCACTGCAATAAGACTACCAAGATATAGGAGCTTTGTCCTACTTCTGATTTACGTTGCTTATTTCTAGAGTAGGTACCTCTGTAAAAAAAAAACAGTCAAACCCCGTTAAACACAGTATGCGGCCCACATTCAAATATGTTTCATGTGCTGGAGGTGAGGGTGGCGGTTTATTGGGGGGCAGTTTATCAGGGTTTGACTGTAACTGTAAATGATATAGCCCATGCTATCCCAAACACTCCGTGATTTTTTTAATATTTCTATTTTAAAAAATTTGCTTTTACTGCATGATGATAAGTGAACCTTTTTAGTTACAGAATGAGTTCTCCACCAATGTCACAAACTGTTGAAACTTTTTCTGGCCAGACAAAAAATTTAAAATTTTGCGTTGTTTCTATCACAAACTTTCCTACACCTTCTGTTATTTTCAACTTTGTCTAATGATTATTTTGTTTGCAACAAATGAAAACCTAAGTGCATTTTGCATTTTTCCAAGAGCAATGGTTCATTTCCAATTTATTTCCTCTTCAAAAACATCATCCAAGGCCTAGTCTCAGCCTGTTTGTGCTAGAAACAACAAACAATTCTCAATTTTTTGTCTCACCTGAAAAAGTTCAACAGATTGTGACATGTGACATGGTTTTCAATAATCATGCAGTAAATTAAATTTTCTTTACAAAAATCTGAAAAAAATCCCAGAACCTTACAATAGCATGAGCTATACGATATTTACAGTATGGTTTTTTTTTAAACGTAGATACCCACTATAAAAATAAACAAGGTCATTCGGAAGTGGGACAACCCTCGCATTCACGAAGCATCACTTGAATTACCTGCAGCATGTACGGATGAAGACGAGCCACAGAGTTGAGGAATGATGTAACTGTGAGCACCAGGGCCAAGGCGGCGTTTGAAAACGGCGCCATGAGACTCCCAGTCTCAGACGGCGGCCGGGACTGCTGATGCACAACCAGCACGTACAACAACGAGATGCTGCTCACCAGTTCGGTCAACTGAATCGTCGGCAACAGGCTCGTGGGATCGGCAATGTTCTTGGCTCCTTCCGGGGTAATCGGACACGGGTGCCTGGAAATGCGTTCAAATTGAGTATTTAGTTTGCTCGAGGAATGAAACATCGTAGGAAAGATAAAATTCAACCAAGATTCAACCGACGAGAAAATGCAAACAACTGTTGCTGCACTTTCCGATTTTTTTTTGTTTTTTGCTTCAATTTTTGACATTTCTCCTTCTTGCCTTCTTTTTCATGAATTTGCCCTTCTACCAAATGGCTGTTTGTTTTTGAAAAATACTGTACTTCCTTCTAAATCAACGTATTCATTGTTACCAGTAAGTTCTTCTGAATAGGGGAAAATTCTTTCCACCATACTGTTTAGTTGAAAGAAAGGCAAACAATCTGAAATGGAGCGAAAGAAATTCCAAGAAATATTTCACACAGTTTATTTTTGAACACTAAATTTTCTATATATAGAAAGTTTTGCTTCTTTGATGAAGTTGGAATGCTGCACCAAGGACAATTTCACAATTTTATTTTGGTAACACAATCAAAACTAATAGGAATAATGTGAGGCAGAATTGCACTCATTTTCTTTTCCAGACTTCTCCGTTGACACGCACTTTAAAGCAATGATCATTCAGGATTTTTTGAGAGGGGTGAAAGTTACTGAATATATTTAAAAAAAATTGTCTACTTTTTTCCTGCAGTGATACCACAACAAATGGAAATGATTTCATCAAGTATTTTCCAATTTAACATCAAATTATTAACCACAGCCTTTTCCTTTTCGAGAATAAATCTGAAAATTCTCTTGTTCCACAAAAAAAAACCTTTACAATCATGTATTCAGAGTTGAAGGGGAATTTTACGTTAGTTCTCAAAGCATTCCTGTATCACTTTCCAAGAAAAAGTTGCTGTTGATGAGAGAAAGAAAGGATATACCCCAGGTGAAAAATAAGAAAAACCCAACTTATTATCTTATTCTTATTTCTTATTCTTATTTTCTCATTTCTTATTTTCTTATTTTTCTCATTTCTTACTCTTATTTTCTTTTTCTTATTCTTATTTTCTTTTTCTTAATTCCTTATTCTTATTTTCTAATTCTTACTTTCTTATTCTTATTTTTTTTCATATTTCTCATATATTCTTAAATTGCTTCTTCTTTCTTCTTTTTTCTTACGTTTTTCTTATTTTTCACCTGGGGTATTTCCTTTCTTTTTCTCTTTTTCCACAGTCTTGAATGTTGTGAACAAGTGCAAGTCTCTAATAAACACCAGTCCCCATTCACCACCAGGGAGAACAGGTGGGCATTCATCAGAAAACATACGGGTAATTCCTTTTAAAGTGGGTGAAACACGCCTTCAACATATTTTTTCAATCTTCTTTCAAGTCAACTACTGTAGAATAATGACGAACCAAGCTCAATAACGATGAAAGACAGTGTCCACTCACAAATCACCCAGTATCTTCGTCATCGCAGTCACAAAGAGTAAAGCCTTTTCAACGAAGCTGCTGAACGTGAGATCAATCTTTTGCCTGCCGTCAGAGGACCCATAAATCGCGGCAATCAACCCAGCTTCCCAGCAGCTGGTGGAATCTCCGTTGATGGGGCCCTGAACACAGGCTATGTACTGAGCCAACTTGTCCACAATGCCGACGGCAACCGTGTAACTGCAACACGCCCAAGGCGAACATTTCATTAAAAGCCGACTCATGTCAATCGAAATAATTGCGCCAATTTTTATCCGTAAACGAGATAGTATGAAGATGGAGTCTGGATAAGAACAAACAATGAATCGTTGAGAGAATACAATAACTACATTCTCGGTGGAAATGATTCTTGTTGATCAACAACGAAAAATTCAAGTTCGCTGAACGACGAATACAGAAGGAAAGCACAGGCACTTGAGATTCATCACTGTCTTTGAAGCGTCAAGATTTACTTCTGGAAGGTAGATGTCGCTCCGAAAAATCTGACCTGACGATAAAAAAATATTAAATTTAAATTTAGAACGCTACGTATTCCACCAAGAAATCAAAGACGAGTGGATATTCATCAACAGGTCGAAAAAATAAATTGGGACCCCGAGATCCGAAAATTAAATTTAGGGACACTGAATGCACAGAAAATCTGCCCCATCATCCAGACGATGTCTCAAGATATGGACATTTTCAAAACATTTCTGGAGATTGAAAAAAAATCGTTTCTAAATTTTGACATCTCTTGAACATAACTACATAAATGAGGTATTTATATTCAAAATACTGTATAAATAAAAATGAATATATAAATAAAAATGAACTTAATTATAAAATTACTCTAATTCATAATCAAAAACAGGCTAATTTTGTGCGTCTTTTTTTCAGATTTTTTTTGTGATCATGCATGCACAAAATTCCTAGACTTGTTCTTGTTATTTAGCTCCTTATAATGCCAGAAGATCTGATTCTGTGTTGCTTTTTAAAGCACAGTTGTTTCTGTATCTTGAAGTTGAGGGAAAAATTATTCAATATTTTGGGGACGTTATTTCTAATTTCTGACGAATTTGAGAACCAATTAAATATTTTCCCATTGAATTCTACGGATTTACGTAGCCAACACACGGACGCTGCGACATAGGGACAAGCACCGATTACGTCCGCATTTCGGGGCCCCACTGAATATCAACATGACTCAGAGTTCCTCAAAACTAATAACTTCAAAGCACAAAATTGGAAATATGAAAAAAAAAAATATTCAAGCAGACGCAAAGACCACTTTGAACTCGATTTCCAATTATTGCGAAGAAAATAATTCTCTTCGGAAACCCACCTGATGGCATCTTGAAGTGCGATTTCTTCTGCGATTCCGTAAGCTTTTTGCGGGACAGCATGTTTACCTGCAGAATCAACATTCAAAAATTAAGCAACCTTGCTCAATTAATTCATAAAAGAAGCAACATTTTGGAAGTACCTCCGGCAGAGGGTTTCGTCCCAGCCGCATCCCCACTTTCTTTCTTGTCAACTCCCAAATCCTTTGCTTTCGATGAAACTGCATCCTTCGATTTGGCTGCTGCAAAAAATAAAACGATACAAATTAAGCTCACCAAGGAGGAAACGCTTTCATTAAACGACAGCGGAAAATCATTCGCGCGAGAGGACACGAGGAATTTCTGAGAGAAAATCTAAATGGTGATTGAGTCACGCGAACAGACATCGTTCTTTTTTTCAACAACAAATTCCCAATGCGTGGAAAATAATCGGAACACTTCCAGACACCCCTCCAACATTCTTCATCGCCGGAAAATTCGTGGCACATCCGGTAATGTCTAACGAATTCACCTTGAAAATCTATTCAACCCTCTCGCCAACAGTAAATTCCGTTACAACGAATCGCGTTGTAAAGATTTGTTCCTTGGTCCTGACAGTTTCATCTCGGGGTCCATAATGAAGAAATTACGTTATAACAAACTAATTTCCCTCTATAATCGCGACATTCCGAATTTTTGGCAGGATTATTTGTCCACGGACCATAGAAATTTATGATAATTGGCACAATACAGGAAACCCCAAATCTTGTACATTTAAAAAGCCTCCAGAAAATTTAAATGTATATTTTTTGTTTATTTAGCATTGCATGAAGTATGAAGTTAAAATCAAAATCTATTTACATTTATTTAAGAATTTAAAATGGTTATTTTTTAAAGAAAAGTATGTCAGGAATTATTTTGTTCCATTTCAGGGAACGTACAGTCGTTATTGAATAAATGCTTTTCTTGCGCGCATATTCTTAGTTTGTTTCAGCTCATACTTCAGTGACATTGGTATTTTTTTTTTTAGAAAATTCAAGAGAGATAAGCTTTCAAATAAGAGTGAATTTCACATTTTGAACGTTATCCACGATTTCATCAAAGGAAGTTGAAAATTTTGGCGCAAATATCTGCTGTGAAAGTATGCATGCATCACCCGTTCACCACAAAATTTCAGTCCTACACGCTAAAATAACCACAAATCTCATTACAACGAATTTTTTCTCAGGTCCCTGAGAGTTGGTTTTCACGAGATTTTACAGTAATAAATGCTTATGCAATCAATTATGATGCTATCAAAATAAAAAACAATTATAAACGCAGTCTTCGAAGACATCGTATCACAGTCCAGTCCCAAGAATCTTCGCGACAGACGCTTATTTCCTCTGCTTTCAACCCAAACAGAATTTCCCCAGTGACCAAAAGCCGTAACCCGCGAATATCCTTCTGACATTCCATCACATACGTGTGTTAATCTGTTTCTCATGCCTCAGAGAAACGTAACTTTTATTTTTCAAAATGAAGGTACGGTAGGTATCGAAAAACCGAAAGGAACGCATCGCAACTTTTGAACACGAGTAGTTTTCTTCTTTTTTATATAAAATGAAAGGCAAGTTTTATTTCATTGACGACTGAGGGATGGATTTCGATTCGCACGAAAGCCAGCTTCCAAGATTTCATCCAGAGACAGTTGACCGTCCTTGTTCAAATCGAATTTCTCGAAGATTTCAAACGCGTTTTCCATCAGCAATTTGGCCTCAGCCAGGGTGACAATTTCTGACAAACTGCTGAGCACTGTGAGCACCTGCAAAATATAAATTTATGACACGCGTACACTTTTCTTGGAATGAAAGAAAGAAAAAATTGGGTTCCAAGATTCGAAACGATAAAATGCCAAGTTTACTCGGGGGAACCGCAAAAAACCGAGATTGTCACGAATTCAAACAATAATTTTTTCCAAGTTTCAGGTTCGTATCGAAAATTTGGGCATCAATTTAAACGAGCTTTTCAAATACCGTATATGGAGCTAGTGCTGATGAGATAGCTGTAACTCAATACGTCACAAGCTTAATTTCTTAGCTTTCCCGGCAGCCCAATAATCACAAAAACTCGAATCCGAAAACTATCAATGCAATTTTTTTACTGAAGTTGATGCTTTTAGAAGGTTTTTTAATTGTATTACTCATCTCAAATCGTGGAAAATATGACTTCAACAGATTATTTTCACTGGAAAATGTCAGGTTTAAACCAAAGATTTTACGAAAAAAAAATTGCCGCGGAAATGATTTTGCAAAATATTCAGCGACAGCCTCAAATGACAGCAAAAAGGTGGGAATTTAATATTCCCAACTTTTTTATTCATTGAAATACAAATAAAATTAAGCTGCAGTCGAACCTCAAAGAACCAGCAAAAAAAAACCTCGACTTGGGGAAGTTTCGTGTTGGGTAAAGACTAAAGACTGAAGAATTACGGGAAATCGGGACTGTTCATATTTTGGCTTTAAATTGCTTCTTAAATAAATTGATGGTACACTGCAGAAAGTGACTTTGGGAGCGGTTAGGTTAGGTCAGATTATGTTAGTTAAAAATACTGTATCCTTCAACTGTTGCTGGAGAGGAGGGTTTCCTTTGCAGGAGATCAAATTTGCCGGTAGATGTCACGTTTGCATGACGCGCATGAATTTCGCGGTGGGTCACCTCTCGAGTACCAAGTGCCGATATTGGCATCACGAAATGACGCATGTACGCAACATACAAACAAAACAAAAAATTCCACAGCTGTCCCAATCGCAAATGAAACGAAACCTCATTCAAAGTGACCATGCCGTCCTTGTTGATGTCGTACATGCGGAAAAGCCACATGATCTTCTCCTGCGGGTCATTCGCACTCGTGAGTTGCAGGGCAATGAGGAACTCGCGAAAATCCATCCTGCCGTTCCCGTCCATGTCACACGCCCGGAACACGTGTCTCGCAAACCCGCGCCCGTGATGCGCAGACAAATACGGCACAAACAATTGCACAAACTCGTCTTCCGCGATTTGCCCAGACGGGCTCTCGTGCAGGAAACGACGCTCCATGTCGCGAAGGCTCTTCATGTCGAAGCCCGTCTCTTCAGCAAGGAGCGCCATCTCTGAGTCAGACAGTTTCCCGCTCCGCTTGCAGCACTTGCATCCCATCTAACATGCCTGGGATGTGTGAAGGTAGCATGGCAAAAACAAAAATTGCAAATGGGTGCAGGGGTAACGGAAAACTCGACTGGGAATTTTTAGAGGGAAAGGAATTCTGAAAGAACCATGGAAGGTTTTCTTAATCACCTTCGGGAAACTTTCAAGTCCATTTGACCAAATTTGATCAGTGTCAGAACTGACTAATGTAGTACAGTACTAAAAACTGAAGCAGAGTATCAAACACATTTTTTTTTTTGAAAAACTACCAGGACATCTTTGACAAAATTCCCTTCATCCTGAAAATGTTCTGTAACTTCCCTTTTAACATCAGTTGATACAAATATAATCTCATTACAACAAACTTCCAGAGACTTCAAAACCAAAGGTGGAACTGAACAAATGTGACATTTTCTATAAATTTGCAGGCATTCAAATGATTGAAATCTGTCATGCAAATTCCTTTCCACAAAGTGAGGCTACACTTTACAGTCATGTTATGATTTAAAACAATAAAATTACTACATGCATACTGTACATCCTTTCTTTGGGTAAATAATATTCCAGGGACATCACAATGGCATCAATTTTACGTTATTGAGCATAATTTATCAACACAATAAGGGAAGGTAAGTCCAGTTGAATATTAGTGGCACAAATTTAAGGTGGTGTTAAATTAAGGAACACTAATTCGACAGTTGAGTGTATATACATTAGAATCTTGTCACAATAAACTGTTGGGAACCCCAAAAAAAGTTTGCTATTCTGAATAATTTGCTGTGAGATTCTCTAAAAGTCTAAATTAATGACTGGATAACCTTTTTCATATCAGAGCTGCCTATCATCCATTAGATCTTGCTTCTGTCATTCTCATATTTTGAATTATTGTGTGAAAAACAGTGATCTTCTGAAAAATGAAATTAGCTTTGATTATGCATTCAATCAGTTGCAATCAATATCTTATTTCTGGGAGGAGGATGCGTGGAACCACTTGTAAGCATGTTCTTTCATCAATTACAGCCTGCATCCATGCTACAGGAGCCAGTCAGTCACATTTGGGATCAGAAATTTCAGACTGAGCCTGCCCTAGAAAAAAAAATCTTCACCTGGAGAATGTATCAAACATTCCTCAAAAGACTTTGTCATACTGGAATTGGGAAGTTGGTGACAACTGCATCGTTTCAACATGCAGTATATGAGCTTCCTACCAGGATTTGAGAAAAAGTAAGTTATACTGAAACATTTCTTGTAAATGGCATTCATTGTGATGAGATTTTACTGTAGTTAATCATATTGGCTCATTTCTCTTCGAGTTCTCTTTCAAAACTTCCTTAGAAAGCTGATGAGACTCTTGGAAACGACTTAAAATCCCTCTTCAGACTCGTTCCATCTTCGTCATTCCATTCTGATCCGTGTCCAACAGCGATTCTTGCGCATTTTTCCTCTCGTCTTCTTCACATTTTTTCCTTCGCTGAAACTCAATCGCACGGAACGCACCAGACATAATTCACACTGTGATCGGCATTCACACACACTCATTTGCTCGCAAATTTCCTTCACGCGCGTTCGTCTCGACAGTTCCGTAACCACAAATTGATTTATTTGCTGAACACCGATCACTGCTTTTCGAGACATCCGCGAGAAGCAGCCTAAAACACCCATTTCACCGAAAAAACCCTGACGTGAATTACTTCTTCCTTCTCCGAAGAAGGAACAAACCACGAACGACTTCATATTTAAATCTAACCCAATCAGACGACTTGACCGGATCCGCAGTTGATGAGAAGTAACGAGATTCAGGCGACACCCACGCCATAAGCACGGGTAAATCAAGGAAGGATGTTCGTACGTCGTACGTAAGAGACAAAAAAAAAAGCCACATTTTTCCGAACACAATGATGGATGAGTTTTTGCAGGAAAAAATTCAGTTCTGTGAGAGCCCGACATGCGGATTTAATTGGTGCTTGGAAACTGTCCGCATGTCGGATCACGATTTCCAATATATTTCAATGGGAACATGATTAACTGGTTCACCTGTTCATCAAAAAAAGTCACCAGAAAATACAAAAAATTATTGTCTCTCAATTTCAAAATATAGTAAATAATTTTTCCGAAAAAAACCACACAAAATCTGATCTTCTGACATCAAAAGCAAAAACTCAAGAGGCGAAGAAAGAGTCTAGTGATACTGCACAAACACGAAGGAAAAATCTTCCTGAAAAAAAGTACTGTACAAAATTAGCCCGTATTAGGAATTGGTGAAATTAATGAATTACATTTATTTTAAATTCTTGTTGATGGAAATAGCTCAGTTCGTTCAAGAGATATCAAGATTTTAAAAATTAAAGTTACTCAATTTTCATTTTTCGGAATGTTGGAAAAGTGTTCGTATCTTGAGACATCGTCCGGATTTCGGGGCAGATCTGACCTTTCCTGATTCCGGCATCAGAAGGCGCTCGAAAAACAAAGAACAAGAACAAGTCTAGCTATGATGTGCACACACGATGGAAAAAAAAAAAAACTCGTGAAAAAGCACAAACTTAGCCTGTTTCGATCAACAATTATTGTAATTTAATAATGAACTTCACTTTTAGTTTTTGTGAATATGAATAGCTCACTTAGTTCAAGAGTCATCAAAATTTAGAAAAATCATTTTTTTTCGAATTTTCTAGCAATGCTGGAGAAGTGTCTTTATCTGCAAATATTGTACTGTACTGCATGTCCAGATCTTGGGGCAAACTTTTTTTCGTTGCAAGTACCGGTCAGTCGAATCGTCCGTAGGTCGGGGTCCCACAGCATGTTCACAAATTATCGAGGAAAAACAAAACAACGAGAATGCACTCACATCCCTTCGTGTTCCGTTTCGCCGCCGGTTCCCCGCCGTTCTGCGCAGACCCAGGCTTGCTAACGATGTACGGATGCGGCGAGGAAGGATCCACGACACTCACGCCCTTCTTCATCGACTTTTTCGACGCCTTGGAAAGATTGACGGGAATGACGCCGAGGAACGCAGTGCGGAGGCTCGAGAAAATGGTCGTCAAGACGTCCACCATGCTGGACGCCACGGGGTCCACCGTCAAGGCCGCAAGGGACCGCGGGCCAGACGGGGCGCAGCCCGGCACGAAACTGGCGTAATCCGGTATCATTCTCTGTTGAAACAATTTGATACAGTCAAACTTTTAAAAGCCGCCATCACTTACTTGTGACGGTTTAAAATGGGTTCGTAGTTCTGTAAAAATAAAAAACAGCTGAACTAATATAGAAATGAAGTACTGTACCCTAAAATCGAGTACCACGCGCCATGGAGTAAGACCCGCGCATATTAAATTTTTAGCTACGAATTTGGAAATACTGTAATTTAAACTTCATAAGACGCGCACCTTAGATTTCAGATACCAAAATTATTTGAATAGCTGTGCTGAATCAAAATCCAATCGAAAGCCCACTTCTCAATTGAGAAATTTGAAGACAATTAACAAGGGGAGATAAAATTTCCAAATTAGAAAACAACTGCTTGAAAATTTGTACCCTACCTATGATGCACACCTCATTTTTCAATTGATTTTTTAAAAACGTGCATGTGGTACTCGGGTAAATGTGGTACAATGTAGATCAGTGTACCCCAGCCCGTGGTCCGCAAACCGGTGCCAGTCCGCTTAATTTTTCCGGTCCGTGGGATATTTTCTCCAGCATAATACATCAAAAGTAGCTACTGTATATGAAGGAGTTACAGTATTTTTCTCTGAAATATTGGCATGACAAGGGCAGTGAAAATTATCTCATGAAAATTAAATTTTGGCTTTTTTTCTTCTTCGGACACTTTGGATACATTTTCACCACACAAAATAAATTATTAAAATGTTCCATTCAGTTAACCTTCCTCCAAGCCCACCTTTTTAATTTTTAAAGACATTTGACTATAGCTGCTTCATTGGTGCTTAACTTTGCAAAAAAAGAGAAACTTTTGAAATAAAACTTCCATGAAATGATCCAGACAAAACTTTTTTGAGTCTGCAAAAATTTTATGAAACTTTGCCAGTCTGCAGAAAATTTTGCGGAAAATTTATCCGACTGCAAAAAATTTCGTGGAAATTTGCCAGTCCGCAGGCCCAAAAAGGTTGGGGAACACCGGTGTGGCAGTCAGGAGCGTCCGCCGTCCGGACTGTCCGGCCGGACAGTCCCGCCTAGTCAGGACCGTCCGGTCGGACATTCCTGCCGCCGTCAGGACTGTCCGGGCCCCAGTCAGGAGCGTATCCATTCTGATCCGTGTCCAACAGCGATTCTTGCGCATTTTTCCTCTCGTCTTCTTCACATTTTTTCCTTCGCTGAAACTCAATCGCACGGAACGCACCAGACATAATTCACACTGTGATCGGCATTTACACGCACACTCATTTGCTCGCAAATTTCCTTCACGCGCGTTCGTCTCGACAGTTCCGTAACCGCAAATTGATTATTTTGCTGAACACCGATCACTGCTTTTCGAGACATCCGCGAGAAGCAGCCTAAAACGCCCATTTCACCGAAAATACCCTGACGTGAATTACTTCTTCCTTCTCCGAAGAAGGAACAAACCACGAACGACTTCATATTTAAATCTAACCCAATCAGACGACTTGACCGGATCCACAGTTGATGAGAAGTAACGAGATTCAGGCGACACCCACGCCATAAGCACGGGTAAATCAAGGATGGAAGTTCGTACGTCGTACGTAAGAGACAAAAAAAAGCCACATTTTTCCGGACACAATGATGGATGAGTTTTTGCAGGAAAAAATTCAGTTCTGTGAGAGCTCGACATGCGGATTTAATTGGTGCTTGGAAACTGTCCGCATGTCGGATCACGATTTCCAATATATTTCAATGGGAACATGATTAACTGGTTCACCTGTTCATCAAAAAAAGTCACCAGAAAATAGAAAAAATTATTGTTTCTCAATTTCAAAATATAGTAAATAATTTTTCCGAAAAAAACCACACAAAATCTGATCTTCTGACATCAAAAGCAAAAACTCAAGAGGCGAAGAAAGAGTCTAGTGATACTGCACAAACACGAAGGAATTTTATTAAAAATTTCTTGCAGGTAAAACCTTCAAGATTTTCAATAACTTTCATCATTTAACATGCTTTCAACCACTGTCTATGTAGTTCTGTATTATTTCATTTGTAAAACCTTCATAATATTGGATTTTCAATCCCGGACGCTCCCGACTGGCGTCAGGACGCTCCTGCCTGGGGGCCGGACACTCTGGACCGGGGGTCGGACGCTCCCAACTAGGTGAGAGTGTCCGGCCGGACGCTCCTGCCTACCCGGACGCTCCCGACTCCTACACCGGTGTAGAACAAAGCAATATAAAGCAACCTGGTCTGTTTTTTAATCGGGTAGTCCAAGTATTCTACAGTATTTGCACAATGATGAAACCAATTTCAGTCTTATTTTCTTCTTTCAAGGATTTGAAAAAAAAACTTGGGAAAGAGGTCACGAATGGATTGGGATTCGACTAAGAAAAAATCATTATCTCAACATGTCAGTCCACCGTTCACCATTGGAAGTGAACTAAACTAATGAACTATCCCTCGTTACGAAAATGTGGAAAACAAAATAACTTGAATTCAACCAAATTAAAAATCCTAGCAAAACTCACGTTCAGTAGAAGACTGATTTGATCAATCAACAAGCATACAGCGTCAGAGTACAAGGATAAAAAGCTGTTTTCGGGACAGTCCTTGCACGCGGTCTCCCACAGTTCAACAGTGTGGACCAGGCATCTGAGAAGCAAAATAGGGTTAAAGTACGAGTTCGCAAGTTTTAGTTCGAAAAAATTATAAACGTATATTTATAAAGTTTCCAAAATTTGTGATTTTAGGGCTCTGACGTTCGTCTGCGACAAGCAGGTCATTTACAAACGTTCATATTTTTTAAATCGTTAAATTGCATTTATCAGTTCTTTCTCTGAATACATACAGAATCAAGAAAAATATTCTCATACAATCTTATTATTTTCATTCTCCATATGACAGGTACGAATCAAAGAAAGATGAATTCGGCGTTGAATTACTTAGGATATGACATGGAAATCACTCTTGAAGCTTCAACTCTGGATGTTTAGTTTAACATCCATGCAAACGATCCCGAATTTTTCAGAAAATTCTTCGCGCTTTTCAATATTTTTCTAATTCTTTCTGAAAAAAACAATTAGGATGCTATTTTTGGTTCATATAAATCCACCTTAACGATCACTTCAATGATGAAATTCAGCTTATCAAAATTTTCCGGACATTTTCAGGCCCCTTTTAGACGTTCAAGTTTGAGTTTTTTATTTTTCATCTGGAGAATCATTTCTTCTTAATCACAAAAATGGTTGCTCACCTGGAAGGGATCCAGAGGTCGTTCGGCGGACTTTGCTCGATCACTTTCAAGACTTGCACAATCAAAGAAAATCCTCCCAGGTCACCAAATGTCACCTTCAGGTCAGCGTTCTTTAAAAAAAATGATTACATTTTTAGAAAATAACTTCCATCATAGAGATTTTTGAATAGTGACGCAATTTTCGAATAGACACTCACCGATTTCATCAGTCGTGAAAGTTGCAAAACGCTTCTTTCCAGAACCGAAATGCTACTGTTTTCCCACCTTCCTCCAGCCTGGGACGCCACCAGCTTCTCCACGTCTTTCACGCATCGCAAAAGCTTGATTTCATCCGGATCCTTGGACCTGAAGTGCCATTCTTTCATTAGACATCAGCGGCATCAAATATGAGAGAGAAATTTTGAAAAATGGGAACAACCAAAAAGTAATATTGCACAAGTCATGACTCCGATGCTCTCAGAAAATAAATGTCTGCGTCCCTCAATGATTTGCTCATGATTCGGTAGAAAACGAGCTTTTCTAAAATTGGTTGGGCTGACGAAGATCCGTATCATCATAAATTCAGCCCTCTTTTCCTTCGAATATGGATCACTCAATTTGTCAAAGTGGTCTTAAAAAATGTAACCCTTTCTCAAATACGAACACACTTTCAAACTTTTTTTTCGCATGATCTGATTCAAAAATCCCTCGCGCAATTCAACGAATTATGAACAAATTTCTCAAGCATTTCAAGAAATGAAACACTTTATACTGTAGCACGTCACTCAGGATCTCCAGCTACAGAAATTAACATACGACGGGACATTTTCAATTACTGCAGTTCACTGTAATACAGTACTGTAAATGCCTTGGTAGATTGCGGACGACTTTAAAATTATTGTTTCGGGGTGACTAGATGTCACCGGCAGTTTCCAAGGTACAGTGAGAGTTTTAAACCGTTCTTCAGATTTCTATTTATTCCTGCTATTGTACTTCGGGTGAATAAATATTTTAAGTAAAATAGATGAGTGGTTTGGGATCCGGGTGAAACCCACCTTGCATCCATCAATAAAATTGATAAAAACATAACGACTGATTCTTCGGTAGCTCTCCTGTTTGAATAAATTATTGTAAATAAAGATCGCAGATATACTGATCGATTATTAGGAAAATGTCCACGGGTATTTCTCTTCAGTAAAGGTATAATAAATTTACCAAAACTCGTGATGAGGTCTGTTTCTTCATCTGCAATTTCAAGAAGACAATAGCAGTTGAAATTACACGATGAAAAACGAAAGTTGGTTTTTTCCTAATACAGTACTGTAATACTTCGGACAGATTTTCCCCGGTGAAATAAATAATTCATTCAACATTTTCATTCTGAGAAACCTTTCTTGAAGCTCCGCTTTATTTTTTTGTCAGAGACATTCTACTACAGCTTCTTTATTGGTTCTTGACTCAATTTTTTAACACAAAAAGAAATTGTAGGAGGACTTCATGGCAGGTATTTAAGAATGTTCTAGTCTGCAAAAAAATCATGGAAATACGCCAGTCCGTAGTCCCAATAAAGGTTGCGTAACACTGATTAAGAGCAGTGTTCCCCAACCCGTGGTTCACCAACTGGCGCCAGTCCTCAGAAGCTTTTTGCCAGTCCACATTCCTTACGCATAATAAATTTATCAGAAGTAGATATACAGTCTTATATTTACATGAAATTTTGGAAACATAATGGCAGTTTCAATCATCTAATCTGATTTAATATAAAAGTTGGCTTTTCTCCTAATAACTACACTACAGACACATTTTTACCAGCAGGAACAAATTATTTTCATTTTTTATTCTGAGAAACCTTTCCTCAAGCCAACCTTCCTAAATTTTTGAAAACATTCCACTATAGCTTCTTCATGGATTCTCAACTTAATTTTTGCAGAAAGCAGAAACTTTTGGGATACCTGCCAAGAAGTCTTTCAAAAAAAAAATTTTTTTCAGTATTCAAATATTTTCTGAAACTTTGCCAGTCCACAGAAAATGTTTTTGAAAATTCGCCAGTCCGCAAAACCATGTATGGAAATTCGCCAGTCCGCGGGCCCAAAAAAGGGGGTTGGGTATAACACTGATCTCGAGAGCATCCTCACTTGACAAGTTTGGTGTCGCCAGTGGCATTCGACAGCCACTGGGAAAAGTCCTGCGCCCTCTGATGCATTCGGCTCCGCAACTTGCCGCATCGCTTCCGACACGCCTTCTGTCGGTCGACATCCAGACGAACCTTGGTCTTGTACACTTCGTCATCTGGCGCGTCCACGATGTGCGCAAGGTTGAACAGGCCCATTTCATCCGTGTTCACGCACGCTCCTCCGACGGCACTTCGATGCACCTGGCCCTTCAAGTGGCTCAACAAGTAGATTTCAGATCCGATCTGGAAACCACACCAAAATGTATCTTCAAACAAATTAGATTCAACTATAATTTCAAGAAGTAAGCGGGCTTGTGGCATTTCAAAAATTTCAAACAGATGCCACCCGAATCAAAAACCTGGCGGAGCACACGACAACCTAGAAAAATAGCATGTCTAGATACGGCCTATTCCGAACGAGCTCTCAAACCGAGCATCAAATAACGTTGTGTAAGTAGACCTCACGTGAGACAGAAACCAAGACAATCCAAATCACATTCACATGAACAGAATCCCGATGTCTTCATCGTACTAAAGCTAAAGCAATGGAACCAAGAGGGTTTTCACACAAAAGATTTTTTCTGCCTCTCAGGCTGTTAAATGTTATGCAAAAAGCCAAATTTTAGCTCAAGAAACTACAATAATGTTATCAAAATAAAAAACGATCGTGGAAAGAGGAAGAAGAATAAAAAGTTCTTCAGTAAAAAATTGACTTATCAAAAAGCAAAATCAACAATTAAACAATTCAATTCATGTTCCTTTTTTCGCAGCGAGAGTGATGCAAATTACAGAAACCCGCCAAAATAATTTGAAGATAAAGGTTTTCCTGAACAAGGATTTGAATTACGATCTAGAACGATTTCAAATTTACGAGGTACAGGCGGGTTTATGTCAACGAAAGAAAAAAAAGACCACTTCGAGCGAGAAAAACTTCCAGTTGAGTGTTCAAAAATGTTCTGTCAATTGTAGAGTTATTCTTCAATTTGATGCAGTCCTTGCATATTAAGCTAACCCTCAAACGTTTTCGATAGGCGTGCGTTCGACGCTGCTGACGTTTCAAGAGTTCCGCGAGAATATTCGAGCTAAAATTAGAAGCCTCGAAATGCTAAATTACTCACGATAACTTGACACAGCGTGCACATCTTCGCTGTCTCATACGACACCAGCGTCGGAGAATCGTCACTCGCTGTCGAATATTTCAACACCGTCGACTCGAACGCTTTTCGTCGAATATCGTCAATCTTCTCTTCGTGTCTCCTCGCGCTTTCTTCATGCTTCAACGCGATTTTCCGCTGTAGTTTTTGCGCATCTGCAATCTGCTTCGCATTGATGGCTGATACCTGAACGCAGAAAAGAAATCATTGTCAATATTTATTTTTCAATTGATTTTGCTTCATAGACGGGATGAATTTATATAATCCCAACCAGACATGTTCCAGCACAGTGCGTGTCAGAGCAGGGCTTTTCCACAATTGAAAAGAATGATTCAAGTGGAAGCGAACGCGAAACAGCAACATAAAATTATCAACTGCCGAGTGAAGAAAGTCGCTCAAAAGTTATTCATTCGGTCACTAACTTTCCAAGAGCATTTTGCTGAAGAAAGCTTTCGAAGTGACGAAAAAAAATGTTTGATCACTATTTTTCTTTATACTTTTTAACCTTGATAACTCAGAAAGTCAAATAACTCAGTATTTTGATCCCTTTTTTTTTCTGAATTCCCTTCGAAACAATGCATGGAAAACCTCCCTATCTCGACGGCTTTCCTCCTTAAACCTCCAAAACTCGAATTTTCTGGCGGCCTTTTGGATAGTATTTTATTGACACAGGAAAGACGAACACAATAAAATTTAATTTGATGCGTTTTAAAAGGAAGCGAAAGATTCATTGGGTAAACGAACCCTAGCGTCCAACTTCAGCATCCCATCAACTCATCTGAGAAGCAAGTTAAGGCCAAGAATATCACCAATTCCGATTTTCTGTGATTCGTTCTTTCCCCCCCAACAAAAATCCGTGTTTCACTTTCAACAACCCAAAACCTCTCTAACTCGATTTTTTTTTTCTCTTTGTGGTCCCTTGAAGTCCGACTGTATTTATCCCATTTAAAATGATTTCGAATTTACGCACTCGTTCTTCTCGGGATCTAGCTTTTTCTCGAGCCAGTTGTAACCGGAGTTCTTCTTTCCGCGTCATGTCTTCGGCAATTTGTCGCTCGCGATATTCTCGCTTTTTGACAATCACGTCAATTCGAGCGAGGCGTTCGGCTTCCATCACTTTACGACGCTCTTCGGCAGCAGCTTCTTTAGCAGCTTTCTCCTCGTTCTTCCTCTGGCGTTCGTCGTTCTTTTCTTGCAGTCGTGCTTCCACGATCTGGACAACAAAGATGCATGTTATGATGTAAATGAATGCGAAGTTCGCTCTCAAAATATCCATCTTCCAAGGAGTGGATTTCTCCGACATTTCGGATGGAGTCCCCGCCAAAACTTTCGATTATTCTTTTTACAATTTTTGAATACTGTACATTGTGAATTTTAAATACGGTAATTACTGGCACGGAATTTGCTACACGCACTTCAGCTTCCATTGGAAATCAAGAATTTGAAATCCGCATGATTACAATTTTGTTTTCTGTATGTGATACTAGTAAAATTCGTCATCAGGGGTAGATGTCGCTCCACACTTCAGACTTAGCTTGAGTACTAAAGGTAGACTCTCTCAACGATTTTTGCCGTATAACGATTTTTTTTGTGCCCTAGGTTTTTCTCCCCTTGTTTTAGCTTTTAGGGGTTTTCTACAACAAAAGTATCTCTACAATAAAATTATTTTGATCTTGATTTTTGTGGTAGAGAGAGTCCTCCTATAGTTACCTGAAATTTTATTCTGGATGAATATTGTGCCAAAACTAGCTATTGTATTAGAATTAATGTTGGATTGCAGATTTGCAGTCACCCATTAAAAATCAACTGTAGGCCACAATATCATCAGATAATTATGCCCAGTTAGAACAACGTTACCATACCATATCTAGGCAATTATAAGTACCCATTTTTCAATTTTAGAAGCAGGAATACTCGGGGTGTTTTTACTGGATTTGCATATTTACGCAAGTTGCGTAAACATGCATCTATACCAGGAAATCTTCATTTTTTGCAGCCCACAAAATGATCCAGCACTTCTTTTGGAATTGAAGTTATTAACTGCAACGAATTATTTGCTGGTCCGTTGAATCTCGTTGTAGACAGAGTCCACTTGTATAAAATTCCGTCAACGAGCTTAAAATGAAGTACTGTAGCTGTTGTTGGTATGCCTGTATTCTTGGAGAATTGATTAAGATTTTACAGTACTTCATGCAAAGAACACTTCAGAAAAATCCAATCAGCGATTAAAAATCACATCTAAATTTTTCTTCTTCTGAAGCCACAGAGAAATTGTTTGAACAAACCTTCCACTAAATGGAAATTTGATTGAACAACAGAAGAAGTCGATTTACCTGCAGTTGCTGGTTTATTTCTTGACGCTTGTTGGAGGCCTCCAAAGAATTGATGAAGGCGATTTCTTTCGCTTTTTCTTCTTCATCGTGAGCTTTCTTCACTATGCTTTGTAGATGCAATTTGCGCTTTTCTTCCGCTCTCTTCAGCTTTCTTTCAGTCGTCATGCGGTTCTTCTCCAGCAATCTGCTTTTCATAGCACGCACTTCCTCAATCTGGAAAAGTAAAATGAACCTTTTTCGTCACGATCCACACTCGCACAAATAGTACAAGAAAAACACCTCTATAGTTCACATCAATTAGCAACGCAAAAATCCCTTTCGTTCGCCAAAAAAAACATATCACATAGGGATTCTACCCAACAAACGGCCCGCGGACTGGATCCACCCTGCAGAATTCCATCGTACATCCTGCAGTACCTTCCATACAATTTTCAAGGTAGCTGCTGCCAATATTCAAAATATGTAAAAAAAATATGAATTTTAAAATTTCTTTTGCACTGCAAAAATTTTATCAGGCTATTCGTGCGATTCAATGCGAAGAACTGACCTAAAATTGAAACTTTTCTTTTAAAGGAACAACATTTGGAGAATTGTAAATAGATTGGCCATGGACGAATTTCCAATAGGCCTTTGAATACGGTAGATGACATTGAATTCCTGGGATTTTCAAGTGATAAAACCATGGAGGATGAATAAATGGCAAAAGGTTTACACACAGTCCTCATATGGTTGATAAGAAACCCTTCACAGTTGAAGAGCGGTTTACAAGGAAAAAATTTAAAAACCTTCCAGCTCCTTGAGGATACGAATTTTCAAAAGCTCTAATTGATGATAAGCTCTTCCATTGTCCAGCTCCTCTTTGTACCATATACAGTACATGTATTACCAATTACATACAGTATTTTGCTGCGTTGGCCGAGTGTTGGCATTATAGCTTTATTTTCGCGTCTTTTACATGATAATACAATTATCGCTTACTGTGGCCCACAAGGACTCTCCACTCCTGCAACGTGGCCCTTGGCCACAAAAATGTGTCATATGGCCTTTGGCCACATCTGAGTCGGGCAGCACTGCTATACACAAAATCCATTCAATTCCTGGTAGCCTTACGATACGACAAAATTATTTATATAGATATATTTTTTTTTTCACTGGGTTGGCGTTTCTCTAGACGTCTCTCAGATCTTCAAGTTCGGTTAGTTCCAACGAGCAAAAGTTAATGTTCGCAAAGGTCATTTGATGTTAGTTTCAGTTGTACAGAACAGGATTAGATTTTTTAATTCACGGGCAATTTGGTTTTCTGGCCAGCTTGACAATTTCAGCGACACCTACACATTCCATCCGTTTTTCCCACATAAAAAAGACTCTGTACAGTGGGGCCCCCAGATGAGGACATAATTAGAGCTTGGGCCTTGTCCCCATGTCAGATCATCTGTATGGGAATTTAATAAATATTTTCAATTGGTTCTCCTGATAATCAAAATTGGGAATACACTCGTCAAATAATTGAATAAAAATGTTTTGCTCAACTTCAAGATTCAGAAAATAACTGAGCAGAAAAAACCCACACAGAATCTGATCTTTTGGCATCAGAAGGAGTCCAAGAAACAAAGAACAAGAACAAGTCTATTTATACTGTGAATGCAAAAAATGCAACAAAAAAAGGACAAAATTTGCCTGGTTTTGATTTGGTGTAATTATAAAGTGAAATTTATTTTCAATTTTTGTGTATATAATTGCTGTAGCGAAATTTTTTCCAAGAGATATAGAAAAATTTTGAATACTTTTTTCAATTTTTTCTGGAAATTTTGGAAAAGTGACAATAAGTAGAATTGATCGTATTTTGGGCCTCACTGTACTGTACGTATACAGTATTAAGAGAAAAGAAATTGTGAAGACTTAATGCCGATTTTTAAATTATAACAGACTAAAACGCTAGGTTTTTCCGAAGTCCTTGAAACAAAAAAATAGTTCCGATGAAAGCCTGTTTCACTGCACTTCGTTCACCCACTTTTCGCGTCAGTTCTTCCATTTTCTCCTTGTGACTCTGAAGTCGTGATTGCCTCAATTCGTCCGCTTTTGCCTGCCGTTCCTCTCGTCGCTTCATGCATTCTTCCGCCGTTGTTCTTCTCGAAGGGGAAGACAGCTTCTCGTGAATATGGAAAACACGGCTGGATTGACGCCCCAATTTGCCATCATAAGTAACGGATAATGCCTTCAGCTGCTCCAAGTCCCCAGAATCTAGCGAATGCACAAAAACACAATCCATGATGCACATTTTAAAAGTAACTTAGGAAAAAGAACACACACACACACACAGAATTCTTCTCATCACTTTACATTCGTTCGTCATTTCGCTAAATAAAATAATAACCTCACCGTCAATCGAATGTACGTGATCATCAACTTCATCTTCTGTTGAAACCCCGTTCGTCAGCCGTTCCTGTAAACCCCAGAAATACATTTATTCGTCTGAGAATACGAGGGATGTTTCAAAGTTTTGTCAGCGTCTCAAACCGGATCTTCAAATTTACGAGTCAAAATACTAAATTTATCTGTCATAAAAAAAAAGACTGGAACTGAGTCTTTTTTGCGAAGAATGTTCGATTGCTAACCGATCAGCGATCGGCTTTCTAGCACCACTTTCACATTCGCCATTATTCAAAAAAATTAAAATTCGTCAAGATCGGAACGTCACAAGACGGCTTTCACATTCAGGACATCGTTCACAAAAAGATTTTCTGCGATGATTTTAATCATCCGGCAGAACTTGGATTGACTGCAAATTCTTTGAACATGCAAGTGCGTACTATTTCTTCGCAATGATATACAGTACTGTATTCGAACATCTTCAACTTCTCTGCATTTCGACCAGGATGAATGGAAAGTGTAGCAGGGTCCAGCAAAAAATCAAATAACAAACTCCCATCTCTTTTACAAAGTTGTGAGGAAAAAAGTGGGCATGCTTCATCGGCAAGGATCAAATTTCCAAAAAATGCTGCAAGATCAGGGGTTCACCACACTTGAACATACAGTACAGGTATTCCGAAATTTTGGAAAGGAACAAAACAATTGAAAATGAATTAAATCCAGGTCGCATTCATTGGGCCAAGTTTGAATTCTGGTGTCTTTTTTTCAATACACTAAATCTGTTGAAAATAACATCCAAGCAAACTGGACAAAATCTTGTCGTAGAGAGAATTTCGTTTCAGACTAGAGAACCCCTTCGACATGGGGTAGAAACTTATGGGACCACAAGAATTCGTTATACAAAGAAGATCCTTTTAGACAAGATCGTTGTAGAGACATTTGCGGTTGCGGTTTTTCAATCACTCAAAATGGGGTGTGCGTCTTACCTGGGAATGGAATTTCATCAAAATTTTAGGGCGAAAAATTGGGGTGTATGTCTTAATCACGTAAACAAGAAAGAAGGTACTCAAAAAAATGTAATTACTCAAATAAAATAGTTTTATACAATACTTAGAAAAGTACTGCATCTAAATCCATTCATCCAAGACTATAGCGGGAAAAAAATGATAAACACAGCAGTGACAAAACGTTTGAAACAGCACTCTTGAATCGGTTGGAAAAAACTTTATGAATGTATGCAAACCCTTTCGGCGGCTTCTTCCGCAGCTCCTTTCTCGAATTCCAATCGCATGGCTTCTTCCAGCGTTTCTTCTTCCTTCACGACACTAGCGAAAGCCTGTTCGTTGGCCTTCAACTCCTGATAGAACAAGCAGGAAAAAACTTTGAGAATGGGGGGGAAAAGACTTTCAGCGAATGCACAACCAGAGGAACACGCAATTCAAGCATGTTTAGCCCATAGCGTGCACTACAATCGCCCCAAAGCAGATGACAACAGTTTCGTTTTCTACCTGAACGCCAGCAAGCAACATTCGCACAAATGCCATGAGCATTTTTTTCCTTCACAAACACGAAGGCTACATTCTATAAAGAAAATATACACACATCTATACAATGACTTGGAAGAAATGCAGTATGAGATGCTTGCGACCTTGTCCAATGAGACGACTGAATGTTTTTGCACAGATAGATGTCGCTGCAATGTGATGGCATCGCAATTTTTACGTGGACAGCTTAACACGATACAAAATTCTGTACCATAGTTCGTAGACTCTCTCAAAAGAAAAATTGAAAGAAAAATTTCGACAACAGTCGCACAGCATAAATTTCAAAGTAAAATGGCAGGAACAGAAACTTGGTATGGACTGGTACAAGTCTGCAGACACAGTTCAATTGCACTAATCCATCTATTTGTGGATTCTTTACCTGAACAGTGGAGCTTTGAACAACAAACCTAATCCATTCCAGCTTAGGCTGATTTTTCGCTAAAGACATCCTTTGTCAGCAAAAGGATTTCCAATAGAAACCTTTGGGAAATCATTCAAGTGATTCCAGTTTAAAATGAAATCAAGATAACTCAGACAAGAATTCAGAAATAGACAGCAAAACAAAGAGAAGAAAATTTAATATTGATTTCGAATTGAAAATAATTTGCAGCAGCATTATTAGAAGCAAAAAGTCATTCCAAATTTCCTCAACGTACAATTTTCCCTTCAAATTTCAAATGAAAAAATTCCTTTGAATCCTTGTTTAGAACAAAATTTCAAAATATATTTTTATTTTTACAATTTTCCGTTTCCAAAATTGAGGGGATTCTTTTTTTAACATGAGGTTTGTTTATCAAGGCAAAATAGCGAACGATTCAGAGTTCATTATGTGAGTTTCATTCCTAAGGACTTGTGTTGCTCAACGACCCACTCTATTTTCAATGAAACAAATTAATCCTACCAAGGCAGTGCTGCCCAACATAGACCTGCGGGCCAGATCCAGCCTGCAGAGACTCATCTATCCAGCAGCAGTCCCTTCTGTATAATTTTCAAGGTGGCAGCCACCACTATTCAAAATACATTGAAATATGAAGTTTAAAAATTCAAAATATTGCCCAACATCCAAAAATTATAGAGAACTATGCTTGTGATTCAATACGTAACACTGAGTTAAAATCGAAACTTTTCACTCCACAGGGGAAAATTTTTTCCTCAAAAATCATCGTCAATTTTGACACGCAAGAAATCTCCGCCTCTGCAATGTGGCCCTTGGTCGCAAACATATTATTAATGTGGCCCTTGGACATGTCTGAGTTGAGCAGCACTGTACTAAGGTATCAATACTCTCTCATCACCATGCACATCAAGCGCTTCAGTACCAAAAAATTAGAAGAGTGCATCGTACTTGTCGCGTATTACATAGGTCTCACTAATCTTTTTCAATGAAGACAAGAAAAATGTGAAAAATCGTACACGTGTAAAAATATAAAATTAGGAAAAATGAAAAATATGCAGAGAAATGTTGCTTGCGAGCATTCACGGTCTAATAACCGTTATCGCTACGAACTGACTTCGTCATCCTGAGCGTCTAAAATGGCATCAGCGTCAGGGTTAAGTTCGGGGCTTCTAGGCGAATCAAGGACAGTAAGGACACCCAGGGATGCAGAGCTCTTTCCCACACGCTGACTAACGTCGATTCCAACCCCAGTCGACGAAGACTTGGACTCCGACACCGGAGCTGCGACTCGGCTGCTTATGTCTTCTTGGCTCTTCTTTTTAGTCTTTTTCTTCAACGCCCTTTCAGCATAAAAAAAAAGAAAAAGAAGAAGAAAACCCCGATCACGTATCGATATTCTGAGAACGCATGTCGTCGCAATTACCTTTCATTGTTTGGTGACGGTCGTTGCTTCTTCGGGTCGGCGTTCTTCGTAACTTCAGACTCGCTCACAACACGAGCCTCCAATGACTGAAACAACAAGTGATTATAGTCATAGTTGTTCAAAAATGGCACTATAAAAAATACTATGGATGCTTTGTTGGTCAATCACCAAGCCAAATGCACCTACCTTCAGATACTCCCGCAAAACGAAGAATTACAGTTTTGTAATCAGGAGGAACGAATTCAAGAGTTCAGAATTAAATTCGAACAGCTTCTGCTGCTATTCCAACGTGAAATCTAAATCTCCCAATTCAATTCATTCATATTTGTAATTATTTGTAAATTTAATTTTGTTTACATATCTCTCCCAAATCATATGAAAGGAATTCTAGTAAAAACATCCGTTTTTACTCGAGTACCAGTCCACCTTTCTTCTCAAAATTGTGAGAAAAAAGGAGGGGCTCATCATAGGCGGGTATAAATTTTTTTCAAGTTTAAAAAGTTTAGGTTTTCGTTATTTTGGATTCTAATGGGGGAATTCTTGACCAATTTCAACAGAAAAACTTACTGCGTTGACCATTGAGAACGATTGAAGATCAGGTAAATTCTGGATCAATTCATGTCTACATTAAAATTGGGGCGTTCTTAATTTTTAAAATAATGCAGTTTTCGAGTCACTAAAAATGGGTCACTAAAACATTTCTGGACGGCAACCCCTTTCCAGGATTCGCGAAAAAATTCATTTTATATTCAAGTTTGGTTAACACGTTCAGAAGAAACAGAGAAGGATTAAATCTCCCGAGATTTGATAGATGCACTAGAATGGACTCCTTCTCACGAAAGACGACACATAAAAAACAACGTACAGTAATTTAGCTTAAAAATTGTTCTGACTCAAATTTTCAAATTTAATACACAATTTGAAAACCTTTTCAGACCGTGAAAGACCAAAAAAAGATGTACTGTATTCCACCCAGAGTGATACGATCGTCAGAACATTTATAACGTCCATTACAATAGCTCAATTCCTCAGGAAGAACTTCGATACAGTACTTGGAATTTCTAAAATATCTTTAGACTGATATGAAAAAACTTGAACAAATTTTCGAAACTGACTGATACGGCGACATTTTCCCAATAATACGGTTACTCTGTAAGTTCGATAAAATCTTGACACAACACGATCGCAGAATTTCAACTCCTCAATAAAAAATGATATATCACAGAATCTAGAATACAGTTGAACCCAGATAACTCGAACATCAATATAGAGAGTTTTTTTGAAGTCCCTGTCCAAATTCGCTTAGAAACATATTATTAAAAAACTCTCCCACTCAAAGGCTTTTCCCCGAAAAACATAGGCCTTCTGGCTACTATTTTATTTAAACAAAAAAGAGAAAAGAAATTAGAATTGAACTTGAAGCGCTTTGAAAGAAAGTGAAAGATTAATTGGGCATCGCCTCCAAGTTCAGCGTCCCGTCAACTCATTTAGAAAGCCAGAAAATTAACAATTAAAATTTCCTGTAGAGTTAATCTTTTTATTTTTCCCAAAAAATTTGTTTTTCCGTAACTCGAAACCTCTTAGATTCGAATTTTTTCGGCGTCCCTTGAAGTTCGGTTCAAAAATTGGTTCGACTCTACAGTACTGTAGTTCATAAGGATTTTTCCGCGTCGAAAATTTCGGAAACATGACCAAAAAAATTCACGACGGGCATTTCTCACTTTTTCGGTTTTGAGTTCCTCGACAGGACCAGTCCCCAGAGATGCCTGCTTCGAAACCGTGCTATGAGAAGACCGATCGTCACAGACATCGTCTATGACGACGACAGACGGTAACGACACGGCCCCCGAAGGCAGAAGAAACCTTTCATGGGCAGGACGAGGGCGAACAGAACTTGCAACCGAACTCCTGCGCAAAATGTTCTCAGAAGAACGCGACACGTCGTTACTGGACTCCATCATGCTTTTGACTGGAGATATTCGAGACCTGGACCTGCCCTTGACGGTTTCCCAACCGTCATCGTCCACTGTAAAAGAACGAGATGTCATTTTACTTCATCGTTTAAACCTCAAAATGGAACAATCCTCAAGTCCTGCAAAAACGCGGAAAATAAAACTAGACAGACGGCGTAAATGTACTGTACTGTATAACTTTCCGGTTCCCGCCTTCACACGTGATCTTTAATTTCAGATTTTTCAAATCTCTACATAGATGTCGCCTGAATTTCGTTGCTTCCTGTCAGGTCTGCTGAACGATCATACTAGAACTGTTGGGTGGAATTGCCATACTTAGCATCAAATTCAGTATTGTATACGTTTAGTAAGTTCATTTTGGCTCAGCGATCCCAGCGAATTCCACGTGAAATATCCAAGAAGGAAATGCTTGGAAAATCCGATTATCCTCACCAAACTATTCTTCTAACTTGACTTCAATGACAATTTAACCATGTTTTTCAAGGTACAGATTTCTTGTACTGTACTGTGAATTGGGTGTGGTCCACCAAAATGGCAAATAACATATTTACTCAAGTACCCCAAGCATCTTTTTCTGGAAATTTACAGGAAAATAGAGGGTGAACATCACAACTGGGTATACCATTTTTTAAATAAAAATACATAAAAACATAAAAAGGTGGGAATAAAAATGTGCATGACATACTTGATTCTAATGGGAAATTTCGGATCGATTTGAACATAAACATTTTAATAATTTAATGGAAACAATCGAGCATTGATGGAATCCAGTTTCAATTTATGTGTAAATTCAATCGATTTTGTGTTTTATTTGTGAAATATTAGTCCTTCCATCATAAAAAATAGTGTGTGCGTCTTAATTATGGATAGGATCTTACATTTCTATCACAATTTCGGGATTTAAAATTCTGGGTATGTGTCTTACTCAAGGGAGCGTGGTACTTGGGTAAATACAGCAAATGCAGAAACAATACAGAAAAAAACATTATAAAGAAAAAAATATAACCACTAGATCCCAATTTATGAACCAGATTTCGAAAAACGCACAGGAAAGATATTTCCTAACCAACATTCCAAGAAGGGGAAGTATGTACAGTCAAAGCTCAGGAAGTCAAACTTCAAAGGAATGGCAAACCAATTCGAGTTAATTCAAATTAGGAAGGTTTTCAGTACAAGAAATAAGCATTTCGGTTGAGGCAAAGCAAGAAGAAATACAATAAATTGTAATTGGTGATGTCTGGGGTATTAAATTGCTTCTTAAATGAGTCGGCAGGATGCTGAACTTGGAGGCATGGGTTTATTTACCAAATTAGTTTATCTTTTTCTTTTAAAACGCATAAAGTTAAAGTTTTACTTATTTCTCTTCAATGTGTCAATAAAAATAATAGCCGAAAGGCCTCCAAGTCACAGTCGTTTTTTATGCTTTGCTTTTGTATAATTCAGACAGGGACTTGACAAAAAAAATTTCGGCACACGGAGGTTCGAGTTACCAAGGTTCAACTGTACAACGAATTCAGTAAAATTAAATGTTCTGGAAAGTCGCTCAAGAATCCTCACCAATGCGTTTGCGTTTAGACGCGACATCTCCGCTGCTAGTTGTGCTACAACTACTCAAACTCGACGAGGACAACGCAGTTTTCACGCTCGTCGTCGGAACTTTGGGAACGATTCGACGTACAACAGGCTTAACAAAATGTCCTGGCACTTGATTGCCCACATTGCGTACGACTGGTCTGGAAACAGAACTTGGATGCTTCCCTTCTTCTTTTGCATCCTGAAGTTGTCTCTTTAGCCAGGCTGGTTTGTTCCACGCAGTCTGTTTAACTTCTGGCTTCGTTGTCGATAATTTTGTAGCTTTCGGGGAACCCGGAGGCTTCACAGGAATTTTTGGAACAACGTCAACAGCGGGTTTATTTTCCGGGGATGGATTTACTTGCAGACTGCTCTTCGACGAGCTTCGGTTAGAATTCTGCTTCAGTGAAACATTCGCTTCGCCGACACTTGGTTCAACAGGCGACACTGAGATTGAAACATCCGTGGAAGGAGCCGATAAAGATTTTTCATCCGTACTCGTGATATTCGAAATTTTTGAAACCTCAGCTTCCGGGCTTTCTAGAGAAACAACTTGGTGGGCTTCTGGACCTGAAACGTCTTTTGAAACACATTCGGAGGTTTTCCCGGATGGCACTTCTGACGATGCAAGTTTTGGAGCGAGTTTGTGCTTCAGGGAATCCGACTTTTTAATCCACTCTCTCTTGGGAGCTTGCTTCGAGACTTCATGAGATTCATTGGATTTCGACTTGGACGCAGTCCTTTTTTGAATTTCGCTGCCGCAGGAAGCAGTAACAGTTGCTTCCGATGCTTTGTCTTCGGCTACATCGGCAACACTGACATTTTGAGGCACAAATTCTTTCGCTTCCGCGTTCAAGCAATATTTCTTTATCGAAACCAGCTGTGAGGCATTTGAAATATCTTCAGCTGATACCGATTTGAAGCTCTGAAGTTCCTTGGAAATTACACCCACGTTTTCTTCAGACCCAGCAGTGCTAGAATTTTTTATAATCTGCTCTAAGTCATCCAGCTGTCCAAAGCTCAAGCCATTGACAAGTCTTTTAAAAGTCGGCGACGCTTTCGAAGTATTTTTTCGGGTAGGTTTTTCACGATCAAATGCTTTGAAGTCGTCTTGCTTTTTATCTACCCCTGAAGGTGCAACATACAGAAAAAAAAGAAAAAAAATCTTTTCAATTTTTAAAGATGACAAAAGGTAAATTCAACGCAAATTCCCAAACAACGCAAATCAGGAAGCAACGACAGAGTAACTGTACGAATGAGCAAGTACAGTATCAAGAGACGATTGACGATAACTTCACTTTTGCAATTGAAGTTCTCTAAATGTCTTTCATACAGCACTACTCGTTCTTCTGAGAAATGCTGTCGCAAGGAGCAGCTAATGTAACAAAATAATTTTAAAAGCCCCAATTTTACAATGCCTCTGAAAAGAAATTACCAATATCCTTGCGTGCTGAATTCGAACACGAAATAGTTGATTCATCGAGCAATAAACCAGTATTGTAAATTTTTAATATATTTTCGCATTTGAAACAATAAAAGAGTCCGTTTCAAGTTCATCTAGTTCATTGGAAGTGGGTGGAAATATGCGTCTACAATATCAAGATATGAACATAAGCACTGCTAGGAGATAAACTAAACGCATCGTCCATTTCTCACGAAAAATCAGACCATCACATACACTATCTCACGTATTTCACTCACTCTGCGTGTCCTCCTTAACAGGTGAAGTTTTCGTCGACGATACTGCGTTCATATCGTTCTCGAGATTATCAGCTGATGTAGAGGAATGCACGAGTTGCATAGAAGGCATCATTTCACCGAAAGATGCCTTCAAACTGTCCAGGTTAGTCTTATTCAGAACTTTCTCAAGATCGTTCAAGACTTCGCGCTGCTTCTCGTTGAATTGCCCATGAGCTCGCCAGTCCCCGCAAGAGTCCAAGGCGAAGAACAACGCCAACGGCTCCGTTTGCACCGCAGCGTCCATCGTGGATATCTTCCTCATGGCATTGCTGATGGACGAACAAGCTGGATCGATTTTGCTGGAAAAATTCAAGGCAATCATGTACTGCAGTACCAAATAAGTCGGGTGCAGAAAGGAAGAGTGCACATGCAGAAGAACGGGTTGAAGGACGGGGCTCACGAAGACGCTCGAAGTTCAAGTTAATCACAAGTTCACAACAGTCACGGTGCTGTAACTTATAATTCCTTCAACGCTTCCGAGTTTATACAGATAATTTATATTCAATTATTAATAAATAGCGTTACTTCTGAACATGTCCACGATCGGAAATGAAAAATGAAAGTACAGTGCATAGTTGGAAATACATCTTCGCACCAACCTAGCATTCCGCATGTGTCACGCACCACGTCCCAGATGAGATCACTCCACGACGTCGTTCAACCGCGAGAATTAGCAAAATAAATTTCAACTAATGGCATTCTTCAAACGTATTTCTCTGAAACAAATGATCAATTCGGACCACATACTGTAAACAGAACGTATGAATCTTTTCCCGTGTGGCCACGCCTGTCCCATTACTTCCGCCTTGCTAGTGAAGGCTGGGAAATTAGCAGCGAAAACACGCCGCCATACTTCTAAGCAGAACACAAAGAGCTCTCATCAGAGGGAACTTGTAATGCAGCAGCCCGTTCAAGGCTCATTCAGAAACCAGCTCATAGCATCAAATCTGCGGCATAATAAGATCATACATACAGCACAATCTCTTTAAAATCTATAATAAACTATGGGTATGAAATTGAGGACAGTCTAATAAAAGTCAGACTCCATTCAACACAAGGTGAATAGACAAATCACTTCCATGAGCAGGAGAGCACTCATTGAAGAATATTTGGGGAATTGACACAAAAAATAACCCCTCCACATTTTCATTCACATACTGTAATTAAAATGCCATTACATTGAAGTACTGGGCAATCACTGGTACTCATTCATTTTTGAGGTGTTCTAATTTTCCAAACCTAACATTTCTGACTAAATTTAGGTTTTCCCAGAAAAAGAAAAATGGCATCACACAACCCTTGCTCTCTACCAGCAGTCAATGAATCATGAATCTTGAAGTAATAAAATCTGTCCCTTCCTTCCTTAATTCCCCTTCAATTCCAAAGAACAGAAGAAAATTAGTACAGGATCATCAGTAGCCTGCAAAAAGGAAGATTTCCTGATACGGATGCATATTTACAGAAAATGCACATATATGCAAATACAGCATACAAGCACACCCTTACGTCTTCGATTTTAAAAGTTCAAAAAGGGTGCTTGTATTTGCATGCATTATACGTTAACTCTTTTGATCATGCATAATTCTCTGTCTTGTTGCAGTTGATTTGTTCGCACACATGGTTGGTTGCAATCCACCAATACATACGAACACTCCCTGATAGTCATGCCTCCATATACAGTACATACGAGATAAAATGTCAGGTAATTGAAGATGAATTTTCTCCACCATAAAAATTAAATGGCCAAAAAATATTGTTAAAAGAGGAAATTGTCGTAGACAAGATTATTACTGTAGAGAGAATTCATTGACACTGCTGTACTGTATCATATTCAATAAAATTTCCCAAACACTGATGGTTTTGATATAGTAAAAGACTAAAAAGAGGTCTCCAGTAAAATTGCCAACTTTGCTTCCACTTGCTGGAGTTGTGGGATTTTATTCAACAGATCAACAAAATATTGCTGTCAACTACTTTACCACCATTCCATCCATAAGCAATGAAAATTTGCAGGCAACTTGGACCTCTTCAAAACCCTTCGCTTCAAATGAAAATAATTTCAGGAAATCATTAAAATCTTCGCCTTTTAAGTTCTTCACCACGTAATGCATGGAAAATTCGCATGCCTGATCCACCCAATTCAAACTGATGTACAAGAGATTCCCTGACAAGACACACTACCGGCGACTCACTTGAAACCATTCGAATTTCGCTTGAAGAAAAAAAACTGCATTCAACAATAAAAGAGCAAAAAGTCGCGGGAAAGGGCTTTAAAAAAATTGCATTTCATTCTGCGAGTTCCTTCTCAGGATCCGGGACATCATCACCCTTTCTTTTCCGCTTCGCCTTGGAGGCAACCACTTTAACTGCACCCTCCACAAACGGCAACGACTTGGACACGTCATTGTCTTCCTCCAAGAGTCGCATCTGCGCAAACTGCGTCATTCGATGCGCCATTAGCGGCACAAACGACGCAGCTTCATCAATGAGCAAGCGCTTTGCGGAAATCAGCACGACTGGCTTGACCTTTCCTGCGAGCAAGAAGCAAGAGATCTGAGAATGACCCGGAAGTAGGGCCGCAGTCACATCTCCGAGGTTATTCGTGCGGGCTGCCAGCGCTCGAAAATGATCGAAATTGTACTCCTCCCGTTTCGGTGGATCCTTGATGAAATTTGACTGAGATCGAATTGCCTGAAAAGAAAAATAAATATATTTCCGAAGACCATCTCACAAATAAAATCAATTACAGGTTTGGATTCAGTCACTAAGAATTTATTGGATTCCTCTCTGTCATTGTTAGACTAGGATACAGTGTTAGCTTCATTTTATTCGATTTCTCCACGAATAATATTTCTAAATTGTTTCATCAGTTGAAAAAAAATACCTGGAAACAGGCTGTAAAACACCTGAAGTGATGGCAATTGTACTTCATAAAATTTTACAGATCAAACAGCCAGTCAAATACAAGGAAATTACTCTGGACTTCAACCAACGTCCGTCTCACAAATTGAATCAATTTTAGGTTTGGTTTCAGTCAATAAAAATTCATTTGATTCATCTCTGTCATTTTAAAACTAGGATAAAGGGTTATCTTTATTTTATTTTCCTCGAAAATTCTTTCCAAATCGTTCAATCATTTGAAGAAATTATCTGGAAACAGACTGAACACCTCCTCCAAAAATGTCTCCTTGAAGGTTATTTCTAAATTGTTTAATCTATTAAAAAGTATCTCGGAACGAGTCAAACACCTGAAGTGATCGAAACTGTACTTCATAAAATTTGACAGATCGAACTGCCTGTCAAATACAAGGAAATTCCTCAGGGCTCCAACCAACGTTTGTCTCACAAATTAAATCAATTACAGGTTTGTGTTCAGTCACTGAGAAATTTTAGGAATGTTGTTAGACCATCAGTGTTGTTGTTAGACCAGGATACAGTGTTAGCATTTCTGTATATGATTTCTCGTAAAATATCCTTTTAAATTGTTCGACCTGCTAGAAAAAATTATCTGGCAACAGGCTGAACACCTTTTCTTTTAATTTTGGTAAATCTCGTGAACCCTGTAAACGCTGACAAACGGCAAACAAGCTTCAACTTGTGTATCATTGAATCAAAGATCTTTTGGGGACTACGAAAAAATTCTTAGGGGAAAAATCGATATACCCTGAGAAATTTATCGTGAACTGTTTCATTGATTTTCTTTTAAATTACAGCTTTTATGTTCAAAACGAAGTTTCTCTCGCAGAGCAGCAATTCCTATCAACTTCAAAAAGTAATGATATGAAAAAGCTTCAGAATTCGGAGCTACAATATATATATATTTTTTTTCAAATAAGTAAGAACTTCCCAGAAATATAAATTAAACTTTTGAACCCTTTTTTGTTTTGTCAGTACCAAGATTTGTTTTTTCCTTCCTTGCATGAACAAATTAATTAACGAATGCGCAAGCCAATCAACGATCATCCACAGTCCAAACAAACAAAAAACTCTAGGAAAAAAAATGAATCAAAGGATAAACTTACAACTTTTCCACTGGTGACAACGTCTAAACAAGGCAGCAAACTTGACACAATAGCGCAACAACTCGCCAATACAGCAGCAGGTACAATACCACCATCATCTTCGATCACGAGAACATCCAAGAATATTTGTGATTTCGGGAATTCCTCCTAGAACAAACATAAAATCAATCAAACCAATGATCCGCCAATTAACATATTCACTCGAGTGCCATTCGCACCTTTTTCCCCAAAATTTAGGGGGGGGGGGGGAAGGGGGGTCCGCGTTACAGGCGGGAATAAAATACAAAAAATATATATTTTAGAAGTTTAGGCGTGGGTCATTATATGTAATGATAAATTTTGACAGGAAATTTTAAAAAATCAAAACAATTGAAAATTTATTTAATTCAGGGTGAATTATCGTTAAAATATGAATTCTGGTGCCTCGTATTTTTGAAGTACATTGTAATTTTTAAGTTGCTAAACATGGGGTCCGTGTCTTGGTCGGGGATAGAATTTCATTAAAAAAATTTCTCGAAAATGAGGAAAAAATTTGGGATCCGCGTCATAAATTTTCAAAAAAAGGTCAGTTTAGGTGCGCGTCGAACTACATAACATTTTGAGGCACCGAGAAAGAATATCACCACCTCAAAACTAGGTCTTGGATGATATTTTTGAAGAGGAAATTTAAAAAAAAAAATTGGAAAGGAACCCCTGCTCTTGGAAAAATGCTAAATGCAATTAAGATTTCATTCTTGGCAAACAAAATAATCATTGAAAAATGTTGAAAATTTCTCAAGATGTACAAAAGTTCATGCTAAAAGCAACAAAAAATTGGCCTGAAAAAAGTTTCAACAGCTTTTGACATGAATGTAGAACTCTTACTGGAACTGGAAAAATTTCCATTCATCATCATGCAGTAAATTTATATTTTTCATAAAAATCTGAAAAAATCCCACAACCCTACAATCGCAAGGACTAAATCATATAATTTGTTTCTAAAGTGGTACCTACTCTAGAAAAACCCAAGGCCAAGCGGAAGTGGGACCACCCTCGTACATTTGGGGTGCGTGGTACTCGAGTAAATACGGTATGCCATTTTTGTGAAGGTCATTTGTTTCAAGCAACATTCTCCAAGGTCTCATACAAGCAGATATACGAGGGTTCTAACAAAAGTTCTCGGAATAGAAATTAAAATGGCGTATAATTGAGCAGAACAATATTTATTCTTTAGGGAAAACATGTTCTTTGGCACAAAAGAAATCAGCCCTGTTTGACAATTTTTTCGAATGTTTTGCAAAATTCACCCTGGCACAGTTTGGCTCTCCACTCAAAAGATGAACTCAAAAGCCCTTCCCGCAGATTCTTTTTTTAGCCCAGCTTTCCCCTCAAAATTCTTGAAATCAATGTGGCATTAATTCCAAGAGTTACCTTCAGGTCTTCCAAGGCAATTCCGCCATTTTCCTCAACAGCCGCCACTTCGGCGGCTGTGAAGGCCCTTGGATTTAATGCCAAATTGATTTCGAGAATTCTGAGGGGAAAGCTGGGCAACAAAAAAAAATGCTGCAGGACGGGCGCCTCTTCTTTTGAGTGGTGAGCAAAACTCTGCCAGGGTGAATTTTGCGAAACATTAAAAAAAAAATTTACGAACAGGGCTGATTTTTGTGTCAAAGAATATGTTTTCCCTAAAGAATTTTTTTTCCCGCTTGACTACGCGCCAGTTTAATTTCTATTCCGAGAACATTTTTTAAAACCCTCGTAGTTCAACATGTTTTCTTCAACAACAAAATTCGTAAACGAACCAACAACAAAGCGGGCTGCACAGCCATTTGCACGATCTTCGCCAGCTCTTTTTCTTCCTTGGTGCCGAGTCGGGCTTTCTGCTTCTCTGTCAATCGCTCGGCGCGGCAATTGGCCATCAGTGTGACCCGAGTCCGCAAATAGGCTTCTTTGCAAAAGGGCATCTTGCGTTTCAGGGGACACGGGCCACGTATGACGGCCATTACCCGAGTTCCGCCGATCCGGACGCAACTAGAACCTTGCACAGCTTTCAGGCCACCCAGGAAGAAGTCTAAACGCATGACGAATCATGTTACATTCCTCGCATTAGATTTCGTAGCCTTGACGACACTTGATTGACATTTCGTAAGAAAAAAATAGTAATAATTCTCACCAGATAATCGACCCGAAGAATCCTCTGTTGCAACTGTCGCATCTTTCCGCTTCCCTTTGCGTAGAGTCACCTTATCTGAATTTTTTCCCCACGTGACTATTTCACCTTCCTCCACGACTGGACTACTGCTGTATTCTTCACCATGTGGCGAAGGTGTCTGCACAGAAAAAAATCAAATGTAAATCGTAGCGTAATCCCGAAAGCAAAACAAAAAAAACAAGATCGAATTTCGATTATCGCATGATAAATGTTGCGTTCGACCAGGAAAAAACTCGAAACTTCTCCCGTTCTCTTGTAAAAAGAGTAACCACAATTTATTCACTAATTCCATTTGATTCTGAAATTCTGTGGTCAATTATGAGTGAACTCCTACTGTTCTATTGTGGAAAAAGTTTGCAACATTTCTTAAATAATCCCAATCGATTTCGACTGTGGTTTGACACCTCAAAGGTTGACTTGCTTCACAGGATCCGAACAATTCGACTCAACAAATCAAGACAGGGAAATTGGAGACTGGGACAATCAGACAGATTAACAATTTGAAAAAAAAAATGAGAAAAGACCATTTGAGACACACACAAAAATTAGAGTTAGGGACATTTTGAGGCAGTAAAAACCAGAGAAAAGGAAATTTTTAGACAAGATCAGAGAAAGTAGCAAAAGAGCAGGAAACTGAAGCTGCATCAGTACTGACTCAAGAATTCATATCCAATGATGATTTTGAAGTTCTTCATGCTCTTCCATAGAAGGCAGGGAATTTGAAAAAAAAAATATCCGAAGGGAGCAAAGAGGAAAAGGGCTCTGCATTGCACAAAATTTGAATGAAGTGGGCGTCATTCCAGAAGAGTACAGCAAGTAGAATGGAGAAGAATGATTGGTGCATGATTCCATCAAAAATTTAGGCAGAATGGTCATGTTCATGAGTCAAAATAAATGGCATGAGCTTCATTCACTTCTTTCTCAAACTTTAAAATAAAATTAGGCTTCAAATGTTTCTATGCCCAATTGTACATGCCTTGAAATGATTCTGTCTCAAACTGTCCTTGTATCCAAATGTTCTTTTCTTAATTTTTCCAACATTCATTGGACTGTAGACTAGCATCAGCCCGCAAAGGTTTTTTGAAAGTCCACAGGAAATTTTCTACAGCATAATACAGTAAAAGTATCAAAAGTAGAAATGAAAGTCTGTTATCTTCATCTGAAATTTCAGAAAGAGAATGGCAATTGAAATTATTTGACGAAAGATAAAAATTGGCTGTTCTCCTAATATCATTTGATACAAAAATGTCACCTGCAGAAATAAATTGTTTTAAGAATTCATTCTGAAAAACCTTTCTTGAAGCTCAGCTTCCCAATTTTTTAAAGAAGAAATTCCCCTATTGCTGCTTCATTTGTTTCCAACTTAATTTTTGCAAAAAAGATTTTGGTTGGGGGACTTCATGGTAGGTACATTTGAAAAATGTCTGTTGTCCTGCCAAAATTTGATGGAACTTCGCCGGTAAAAAAAAAATCGATGGAAATTCGCCAGTTTGTGGGCTTAAGAAGGTTCGGGTTAGACACCTAGATCCCCTTTTCACGAAACAGTTCTTTCAAAAAGGTTGCACTATCCAGTCATACACTGAAAGAAAAAAAAAACAATCCACGGGAAATTAGAGCCTGGAGACTCAACCCACCTTCCGAAGCGCCACATTCAAAACAACGGGATTGTCCGGAACTTGAATCACTGTTTCACCATTGATAAAATCACGATAACCGATTGACTTCAGGGCATGCTCGTTCGAACGACGCGAAAACAAATATCTTCGCATCATCTTGAACCTGAAAAATTATCCACAAAAGAGAACATGATTATCCAATCCTCAGCAGAAATGCGACAGAACTCAAAAAACTTCACCGAAAATGAACTCGAAGCTGTCATCAATTCCAATATATTTTTCGTTCCTACCAAAAAAACTCAACTCGAAAAAAAAAAACCGTGTGAAGTTTCCACACGGAAAAAAGTCAAACCACATACAGTACTTCATATGCTGAGCAAAACTGTTCCGAAAACTCAACTAAAAGAACAAAACGCTCCGAGGCAAAAAACGGCAGGTATAAAATGTATCCTTCAAAAAAAGAAGCATTTAGGAACACTTCTTCCGAGAAACGTCTTCATCTCCTAAAGAAAAGAAAATTTCTGTGGAATGGAATGGAAGTGATCCGCGCACTTCCATCTTAGACAAGAGACTTAGTTCTTCTCACTTCATCTCCATACTCTCCTTCGTGGCTGGAATGTCAGATAGGTGTCGTTTCAATCTATCTCTAGCAAACGAAAAAAAAAAAAGCTACCCTGGCCTCACTTCACGAAACATGAAGTAACACGTAATAATCTAGCCACAACGAACCCAACATACCAAAATGGAAGATAACTAATACCCGAAAAATTTCCACGACACCTATTCAACAGGATAATTAAGCAAAACCGCCCGTAAGTCGTTGGCGTGAAAATAACCAAAGTACTCATTCGTTGCAAAAGGAAGCCGAATTATTTTAATAATCGCTGGCTTGAATATAAATTGTGCTTTTGAACGCGAAGATTGATCCGGAAACTGATGAAAGTGACCTATTCCGAAATTTTCCCCACATAAGTAAAACACGGTTGGTGGTTCAAATCTTCGTTCAGTTTAGATTGAAAATGACACGAACCCTCTCTTTCCGGAGGAACCCCTTGAAAGCCTCAGACTAGCCAGACAAAAAAAAAACCATTTCTTACGAAAATTTCAGTCCACGACCGAATCATCAGCAACATTAAACGACTCCTTTCGATCTTTCAACACCGTCTACCAATTGCCACGCCGAACTTTCGTCTCCAGTTGCTTGCAGCCAAATTCATCGAAAAAACTCGACTTTTCCAATGGATTTCGGCCCAACTAATAACAGCGCCACAACATCTCGTCCGAACAGTGAGTAGAAAAAAAAACATTGCCATTTCGATTTTCATTTGGATCTCCGTTTGCCTTCTGATTCTCCAGACGAAAAAAAAAAAACCAGAACAAAGTCATTATACGTGCATCATAAGAACTGACAAATGATGCGGTACCAAAATCCCGACAGAATTTATCTGGATATTTTTCAAGAGAAAGAATAGGGGATAGAGTATTCCCTGAACATTTCTCAAACATCTACACTTTTTCATTCCTAACAGAAAAAAAATTCTGGGTTGACTTCGAAACTGCTCCCGAAATTCCAGGGTCACTCCAGCAATCACCGGTAGCAACTAATTACAGATGTCACTGCCTCATATCATGATCTGACCATTCAGAAACAACCCAACTGAGTGGATCATGAAGAAAATGAGTTGCAAACTTCGCAATGAACTTGACCTGAGCAGCATAAACTGAACTACATCCAGAAATGTGATTTTTTTTCTAGAAGAAGAAGGATTTAATTCAAATTATACACGATTTCCATATTATTTTGGCGTTTTTTTATATAACTACCGACTCCCTATAAACCGCCAACCCCTTTAAAATAATTCAAACCTCATAAACAGCTTCTCGAAGTTTGACTAAATTTATATTCTCCGGTAACTTACTACAGTACCGTATTACGAAATCTTAACTTCTCTGGGTTGGGTTCGTCCATAGGAATCTCGATTTTTCTTTCTTTCTTTGTTTTTTTTCTAGGAAAAAATTGCTCCATCGAGTGTGTAAAAACTTCACAATGAAAAGTTGATCAAGTGGCTTTTCTCTTCTACTTCAGCCACAACTGAAACACCGAAATTCACGGGCACCCCGGAAGCATGGGCCGCGATCGTGTTTTGCTACGTGACGTATTTCGTAACCATGGCCTACATAGTTGGTCCTTTGAAACCCGTTTTCAGGTGCATTTGGCATCGGTATCGCACCAAGTAAGTTCCTTCTCCTTAACCCAGTATTTTCCCGCCTCTTTAAAAATCTAACCTGAACTCCAAAGGCATTCCAAGAAAGGACAAGAGGGAAACCAATCAAGTGAGGGAACATGACAGTGGGGAGGAAAACTATCGCTTCGGTTTCAATTCCTATTCGGAATGTTCTACGTAAAATACATCATCGGTCGCAATAAAACGCTTCCAAAAACGCGCGAATTTAGCGACTTGAGTTAAGAATTGCTCACGCGATCATTCGCAACCTCTGATTCAAGCTTTCGGATTCTTTTTCCTTTTCGCGATTTTTCTCAAGACAGGAGCAGCAACAAAGAAGAACGAATTAACAGGAGCCCAAGCGTTTTTCCTTCCAATTTTGAAATTCTTGGAAAGAAACACTAGCCACTCATAGAACCCAACCCGGCGGCACTTGTCTGTTTTTCACACCAGTATGATATCTTTCACAGCACACAGATGTCGCCTCAATCTAGAACCTGACCAAGTTTGAAAACTGTGACCCTAAATTAGAAACATGATCTAAGCCAGTGCTCTCCACTCTTTTTGCGCCCATGGATCAACAAATTTCCATACAATTGTTCGTGGATAGTCGCATTTCCATAAAATGCTTGCAGACCAGCAGAATTTTTAAACACCTGCCATAAAATCCTCCAATCTTAACTAGAGTATTGCACAGCAAAAACCCACCTGTTGAACAACAAAGCAGCAACAGTGGAATGTCTTCAAAAAATTAGAAATCTGTGCATCTAGAAAGCTTTTAAAAATAAATACTTGAAAATATTTATTTTAACAGACAAAAATTTGTCTGATGTGTTAGAAGAAATGCCAAATTACAGTTTTCATCATCCAACATCAACTGCAAATGTCTCTCCAAAATTCCAGATGAAGATAAGACTTCATTACTACCTTTAATAAATTTATTATGCTGAAGAAAATTTGACTGACTGGCAAAAAAATTCTGCAGACTGGCGCTGGTCCATAGACCATGGGTTGCAGACCACTGATCTAGGCAAAATTAAACCCAAACAAAAATGAATGTTCAGGCGACATCTATGCATGAGAAAGTGAAATCACAGACTCGGGACACCCGGGGGTAGAACAGGAAAGAGCCGGAGAGTGTTAAACTAAGTACACCATTTTCTCAATGGTTGACCTAATCACAACACTACGAAGTCAATCACAATTTCGAGCTTTTCACGAATATAAAATCGGTAAGTTTCGGCGAATATTTATCTTGGCTGCCAACGGCAATGGATACGTTTCCAAAATAAAAGTTACAACAGAATTTTCAACCAAATATCTCGCGAACCCAGTCACTCGTAAGCTGAACTATCACCCCATTCGTCGAAGTATCAAGCATATTTAGCAGCCTAAGAGCAGCAAAAATTGACACCTTCGTATGAACACAACGGTCTGACCAATAAAATGCTTTCACTAAATAACCTCGGCTAATGCGCAAGAAAAAAAACCGCAGCACGACATCAACATAAATACCCCGTTAAATAGATCTCAAAAGAAGCTGCAACTCGAAAAAAAAATAAATAAATTCATTCACGCTCCATTGTGAACAAATGAATCGAGTAAAAATATTCTTAAATTGAAAATCTTCAATCAGAAAAAAAATCGTCGGCGGAGCTTCTTGTCGGCAGTGAGAAATTTCTCAACGTACATACGAAATTTTGATTCCCTTCCGTCAAAACGGCTGCTCAATGAATGAGGATCGCAAGTTTTTTTTTTTTCGACAAGATGAAGCTTCCAGTCTATCAAATTCCGAAGTCACAGGTCACCAATAAACTCTTCGAAATATTTTTGACTGCAAAGAAGTTAATGACTTGAGTATATCGAATGAAATCTGCTTTTGATTTTACAAGTCTTCCAAGAATACCACTGTCTTTCGAAAGACAGCATTTAAAAAATTTTCCGGACAGCAGCTTCGCGGGGAATTTTCCAAAAAGTGCTCCGGAGTATTCTAGCTATAAAAACTGAATGATGAATGAAATAGTCCCATGACTCGTCTGAAGATTTCAAAATGTTTTGAGCGTTCTCAAACCTTTTTGCCAGCGCGTTGGAGTCTAAATCGTTAGTTTTCAAGTCTGCAGACATTCCACAAAAAAACACAGAAACTAAAAATTGAAACGAATGCATCAAAGTCAACAAAAGCTTCGCTTCGAAATCGTGCAGAATCTTTCCAATTATCGCCATGTTAAGGTAAGTCGTGCTTGTCCGCTTTGAAGTAGAGTATTTCAAGGAAATCATTCACGAACTATTTGAGTCGTACTCTGCCGTTTGATTTTTGAAAGTTTTTCAGGAGATAATTTCGAGCACTCCCGAGAGGGATACAAGAAAACTTACAATCGTGAGACCATTGCATAAGAGTCAACAAAAAGCTTTGGAATCGTGGGCCAATCTCTGAAAAGGATTGGTCAAACATGGTATCCGCAGTTCGCATGGAAATCTAGTCAACCGATCTTCTTTCCCGAACGGTATTACAATAAGTACGAACTCTCCACTTTCCCCTTCTTTTTTTTTCAAGCACAGGGATCCACCTCATTCTCTCAACAGAGGTACACACACACACAAGGAGCGAAGGATCTGGGTCAGAGGCTTTAGAAACCCTGGTTGGGATCACGATACTCGGAGCCGAGATTGTCGAATTCTTCCAGCTTCCACTGCAGGGTTTCGAAAGTGGGACGTTTCTTCGGGTCCTTGTGCCAACACTCGAGCATTACTTCGTAAAGTTGCGTAGGGCAATTTGGCGGGCACGGCATTCGGTAGCCCTGTTCCACTTGGTGCAACACGTCCGCGTTTGTCATACCTTGACAAAAAATTGAAAAGAAGGTTTAACCTTTTTTTTTGCAGCTCCTCGAAGTTCAAGAACTGTACGAGGGTTGTCCCAGTGGAACGCGAACTCCAATATTTTTTAACTAGGAGTGATCGTAAGAAAAAAAAGAATCAAGACATGGCCCATAATTTTATGAGGTTCCGGGATTTCCTTCGGATTTTTAAAAACGTTTTCCAATTTAATGCACGACGGTGAGTGAAAACTTTCCAGATACAGCCAGAATTTTCCATCAAAGCGGGGTCGAAAAATTCGTCAGACCAACTAAAAATATTTATTTATCCACAATACTTTTTACATTCTAGATATCGGTTAAAATAACAACAAAATTCACTTTTCAGCCAGCCTGACAAAATATGAGCACGCATTATTATCTCTATGCAAGCCCCATCTGAAGGGATAATCAAATTGATGGAGAAACACGTAGAAAGAATGCACCCACAGTAGTTCCCTTTCTAAAACTGAATTATGCGCGGAAAATTCGAATTACGGTACCGATTAATAAACAGTTTAGAACTGTATACAACTTTCTCTTTCGGAGGCCCCAATAATTTTCTGCGAAGAAAACACTTTCTTGATGATATTTTTACAATGTTTGCCAATTAAAATTCGAGATATGGACAATTGCATCAAGAATTAAGTAAATAATTTCCAAAGATTCAGGGAATCACCGGTCCCAGGAAAAAAATAACTCTTTTTCCTCGGGTTCCCACAGTCACACACTCACTCAAAATTATTTTATCCACCTGAACAAAGGAGACGCAAAAAATTACCCGGTCGTCAAAACCGTGAGAAACAACACTCAAATATTCCCAACCGTTAAACTATAGCCATTCATCAACTTACCCGGATAAGGAATCCTTCCAAAAGTAACCAATTCCGTCAGAAGAATACCAAATGACCAGACATCAGACTTGATGGAGAATTTGGAGTAATTCGCTGCTTCCGGAGCAGTCCATTTGATGGGGAAACGAGCACCTGATCTGGCTTCGTATTCATCCTCCTGAAAAGGGGTACACAAAATTTAATTAATGTACACACTCGTCAGTGTATTCACGAAAACACGTGAACGATTTTTAAAAAGTTTGGACTAGATGTCAACTGAAACTTCAATCATTCAATCGGGGGTCCCAGATCCTGTCGAACTTGGGTTTTTCCACGCAGAGTCTTTCCATGATTTTACATTTCAATTGGTCAGCGTTCATACAAACTTCGTTTTATCTTTAAAAATACAGTACTGTACAGTACAGCGGTTCCCCGTATATCGAAGCAAATGCCTTCCTATGTGCGTAATGGGTTTTCCAGTAGGGTTACGTTGTATACAGTATTATGTACAGTAATTCGTTTCAGACAATCACCAGAAGATCATAATAAGCTGTGAACTTTTTTTTCAGTATGCAACAGAGGATTTAAAATTGTCTATAGGAAACAAGTAATTCGGACAACTTCTTGCTCATACCTTCACGAATTTCACGAATTTTAAATACAGGATTATGAAAACTAGACCCTTCTTTTCTCAAGCTTTCAAAAAATCCGAACTTTACAGACACAATTCGTTAACGTTTTTACGTCAAAAAGATTGCGGTCATTCGCAATGCGAGGACCCCATTTACTTCCGAATGCACCCCGTACCGCGCAGCATTTGGAACGTTCTGAGCCCCAGATGAAAAATTTCATGATGCAAAAAATTTCCAACAAACCTTGATGAGCCTGGCCAGTCCGAAGTCGGCAATCTTCACAATATGCGTCTCACCAACCAGAATATTCCTCGCGGCGAGATCTCTGTGAATATAATTCTGGGACTCGAGATATGCCATTCCGGCAGCAACCTGCGCACCCATGTAGATCAGGTGAGACAATTGCAGTTTCGCCTGACTGTCTTTGAGAAACTGCAACAAGGATCCATGCGGCATGAGTTCGGTGATGATGTAAATCGGCTCCTCTGCCGTGCACACAGCAAAAAGCTGGATAAGATTTTGGTGTCTGAGACGCTTCATGATCTGAGCTTCAACGAGGAAGTCTTGCGGATCCATGGTACCGGGTTTCAGGGTTTTGATCGCAACTTTCGTGGTACCCTTCCACAAGCCTTCGTACACTTCTCCGAAATGACCCTGACCGAGTCTTCGAGTGAGTTGCAGCGACGTTCGATCGATTTCCCATTGGTCATTCGTGTCGTGCGATAAACTCGCGATTCTCGGAGAATCAGCCTGGGGAAAATTGCGGGAGTCAACTACTGGTTGAAAATTGTAAAAATTCGAACTCACTCTCAAACACGGAACCGTCAGCTCGCAACACAAACCGTCAGATTTTTCGGAATAATGCGCGACAAGTTCTTCTAATGACTTGAACCTTGTCCTCTGGGTGATGTAAAACGAGGAATCGTCCATCCGGAAAATGCGGTAGTGCTTCACACTGTCGCCATGTCGCACTAAAAATTGAATTGAATTACTCGAATAAGTAGACTTCGTCGTAAGTGCGCACAAAAGACCAACATTAAATTAATCGAGAACATTTAAATCCACAGAAACAACGAGGACCTTTATAGAAGTTATTTCGCAAATGGAAATCTATACCATGAACAAGAATCGTTTTTGAGTCCAACTTCACGAACTTTTCTCGGTGAACGGATGAACCATGCAAATTTACCTCGGGCGAAATTCGAGAACTGATTCAGAACAGAATTTCTGCGAAAAGGGTTCTCAATTTATTCGTGGAAGTAATTTCAATGAAATTTTCAACGTTTAAGAGGTACAGCTGTTCAGTGTATATTACAGTAACATGTTTTCTCCCAATGATTTCCCCACCAGTTGACTTTCTTCGGTCATTTCCTCAACCAAATATATTCCCTCTCATACGATACAAGAATCCGAGCCATTTACCTCGAACAGTACGGGCATTAGTTGATTTTCCCCAAACCTTTTCGCTCCATCGAAAAGATCAAAACGTTGATTTGAAGCGTTAAAGTGTTAAACTCGGTAAAATGCACTGTATCATATAAAGTAAGTTACTGTACCTGACAAAGAATAATCGTGACGCTGACTCTCACTGTCACGAATAAGGAAGGATCCGTGAGTGTTTCCAGGCATCAATAACGTTTGTTGAGCGTCAACTCGCTTGAAATTTTTGAAGAACCATCTGCAAGAAATCACTACTGAGCGTACACTGCGCCAACATGAACAAGAATCAACTCACGGTTCAGCCTCCAAAGACCGATATTTTGCGACGAAATTCGACGGAATGTACCCTTCTTGACCAGTGGAATTGCTTCTCGCTATCCACCAGTCACCCTGAGACGAATCGATGATGACGAAAAAGTCACCTTTGCAAAAGCTCAAATCCTCGTTAGTCCGTCCTTTGTAATCGTACAAAGCAACACACAAATTTTGACCCTCGTCCTTCTTGGAATCCTTCCCAATGGACGACATTGAAGGCGTGAGGATTGGATTTTGTCCCTGAGACATGAACATGTTTTGATGGTTGCTTTGCCTCGTGGGTGTCTGCCCTTCAAGAACAGATGGGGGCGCTGATGGGCCCTGGCCAGCAAGCACGTGTTCATTGAAATGAAGCACGTTGCACGGATTCAAAGCGCACGGATTCGGGGCTCGTATGATATCAGGATTGACGGCTGAGAACTGCGGTGGTACCTGCTGCTCTCCTTTACTTAAACAAGCTCCCATTCTGAATCCGCTGAATAACGTGGATGAAGAAATGTACAGTATGACTATCATCTTTAAACACCTCGTACAGACGACGAGTTATTCTCACCTTAGTGAAGCAGTCCTCCGGAAACGCGTACAGGATCTCTACCTCGAACAAACTATTGCATTGCGTCTTGGAAAATTACACTCCAAATAAGCGTCCAAATTACACATCCACGCCATTCCAAAGACGAAATGGATCACAACTGATCAATTCATGAAAAATACAAAACGCTTAAGTTGATAACAGACATCGGAACAGTTGATTTCGAACACCTCGTTCAGCGGGTAAGTTATCCTTACCTTTGTGAAGCAGTCCTCCGGAAATGAGTACACGTTACCTTAGCCAAAACATGGCACTGCGTCTCGGAAAATTATTCAAACTGGGCGTCAAAATTAAGACACTACAAAGACAAAATAAATCACACCTGATCGATCACGAAAATTACAAAACGTGTATGCAGAATTTAACAGTGGACCGTACTTCGAATGGTTGTAGTTCGGCTTGCTCCGTGGATTTCAAAAACATTAACGAACATTCCAGCTTGCATTCGATGACACGGTTAGGTTTGCTTAGCTTCAACATGTGTCTTGACGATCATGATTCGGCTCCATGTGAAGCTCATTCAGATGATCACGAAGTGCGTAAGTAGGACGCTTATGGAGACCGAAGTTCGATAGAAGTCAAGGCTCACTCAAACGGTTAGAATTCAGAGGGCCACCTGATCAATTCAGGCACGATCACCGTGTCGCAAAAACTCAACGCGCGCCCATCCCAAACCATCGCACGATCATAAATCCCTATCACGTTTTTCCCCAAAATCCAACATTGCAGTACCCAGAAAAACAATTGATTCTGCTTCAAAAGCGCAATTTCGGCAGCGTGTCCCTATAAGATAAGCAGTCGGGTCATAAAGACGGATTTTCTAATTCAATAGCATTGAATGTAGATGTCACTATAACTCAATAAAGCAGCAGTCGGAAATTTGCAGCTAAATTTTCATGGACGAATTTTTCTTCTCAGTGGAAATAATTGAATTTTTTTTAATACATACTGTATTCAGTACATTTATTGTAGAGAGAGTCTACCTATGTATATGTATACAGTATATACACATCATATACCTTGTACTGTATGCATAATGTATTACAGTACTTGTGTAACATGCTTGCTGGACGACTCTCTTGAACTGTATCTCGTCGTACTGTATGCAGTACACAATTTTCTCTGCACGGCAGATTTATTTTGGTCTCATATGAGGTTCTTTCCCAATTTTACATGAAAGTGGTGTTTCTACAAACAATTCTTTTCTATTCCCAAAATATTTTTGTGTAGAGACTGAAGAGTACTTCTGACGTGTTTTTGCGTACATATAATGAATATTATACAGTACAGTATACATACAATACATCACTTTAAATCTCTGAATGTTTTTAGCATATTATTCCTTCCACTTCTGTAGTTTGGTCTCCAGCATGTTATACAGTACTGCATGCAGTTCAAATGTTCAATTACTCTTCAATAGACCTGTTGAGTTATCAGAGCTAATATTGTAATATGTACTGTACCACACAAATATCTTTTCTGAATGGCACGAGGGAAATGGGGGTGTGCATCTGGATTCTTGTGCATCAGATATACATTTTTAAACAAGATTTAGAAGTTTAAAGATATGCATTATACTGCACTTGATTATATTGGGAAATTGGACTTGCTTTTGGACCAAGTTTCACAGAAAAACCTATTCTAATGGGAACAATTGGTTGAATTCAGGTAATGCATGTCGAAATTCAAATTTGGATATGCCTATCTTTGAAATTGTACAGTTTTTGTCAATACTCTAAGAATGGGGTTTGTCTCTTACTTATTGAGAGATGGGAAATTGCTTTTTAAAATTTTTTATAAAAAAAAATCACTGGTGCTTGTCTAACTCATGAGGTTACAACAAATTTTTCAGTACTGTATAACAAACTTTTTTTCAAGTCCTGGCAGAAATCCTATAGGCTACATGTTATAAAAATCTCATTGCAACAAACTGCCAATTCCAGTATAACAAATTTTTTTGAGGAACATTGTATGATTTCTTGATGAAAAATCTATAATGGAGGCAGGCAGTCTAAAATTTCCCATTTCAAATGTGACTGGTTCTTGGAACATAAGGAGGAATCAAGCACAAAAATTCTTCAAAGTCCACCTGAAAATCATCTCTTTCAAGGAGTACAGTTTCTCATGTTAGGAATGATAATGGTGGGAGGGGGGTGGCCAATCATATGGAAAAAAAATGAGCCCAGCAATACTCATGTTAAGAAGTGTTCCTATGATTGAGAAATGCTAGTGATTTAAATTTTTTAGCAATTTTGACACATTCACCTTTACAAATCTTCGCAGGAATTGTTTTAAAAAACTTGGTCAAGAAAGTGTGCTAGCATTTACCTGTTATTCAGAGTATCTGTTTTTTATAATTAATAATTACACTTATTTTTTAAGATCACAGTTTTTTAACCACTGAAAAACACCTGAAAAGACCACAAAATGAAAAATGTTGAATATATGCAGGTCTAATTTGAAGAAAATCTTCAATCAGTCAATAATTTTCAAAATCTCATTATAACAAATTATTTATTACAACAAACTTTTTCTGTAGTCTCCACAAGTTTGTTGTATCAAGATTTTACTGTATCGAGGTTCTACTGTAATTTCTCCCCGTCTTACATCTTCAACAAATAAAAACTGGCACGCAACCAACATACACAGATAGAAATTTGAATTTCAATCCGATTTCTTCCAGTGAAAAATTAAAGTGTGCTTCCTGAACACTTGCACGTGGCGTTGAAGCGAACATGGGATTTTCTGTCACAAGCGTCAATTACATATACATGCAGTTTAAAGCTACCATGCATCATTTTATAGATTTCTAGTCTTCAACAGCGTTATTTGGGATTCCCTAGAATCTTCAATTTCGTGGAAATGAAGCGCTTTCTGTCGCAGGAAAAAAATCCGTGCTAAATTGCATTTTGAACTTCTTCCAAGACACGAGTCCGGACAATATAGCGGGTCAACCGGAAATTCTTCGTCTTGCATTGAAAACTTTTTGCTGAAATACCGGAAGAGATCCGACCCATCCTGGTCAAGACGGAAAAACGACTCAAGCCAAATTTCATTAACTGCAGTAATTAGCAGCATATCACAAGCCTTTCACGCACACTTGAATAAAAAATCGTAATTGCCCAGAAAATTACGCAGTTTTACAAAACAATCCATAGCTCAATCCAAAAAAAAAAAAAAGAAAGCAGGGACCACAAAAACAAAAAAAAGGCAAACGAGTAACCCCTCCTTACAAGACTGGCCTGTGCCAGATAACCTTCCCATCCAGACACCCAGTCACCAGACACGAGCCATCCGGTGAGAACTGGGTGGTGAGCACGGGTGCAGAATGAACCAACAGGGTGGAGACTTCCACCAGGGAAACAGAGTCTCCGAGCTTGTTGTCGCGAGATGACTTGTCCACTGACAAGTCGATTTGACGAGCCTTGCCGGGCAGTTTGCACTCCTGGTCAAACATGAGGAGCCTGTGCCCGAGGCCATAGGGTGAAGCAATCACACGCCCACACGGGCTCACGGAGATCTCCTTAATGTACCCGTGTTGCCTGCGAAATACAAAAACCAAAATCGTCATCAGACGAGTTGATACCAAAAGAATTGATGCCTCGCAGCTAGAAAACAAAATGAGTGAACCTGATGGAATACAGTGCTGCTCAAGATTACACCAGGGCCAAACAAAATTATTGTTTACATGTTCAGACAATGTTTTTCTGGGACACTAGCACAAATACAGTGAACAGGATCCAGACAGACAATTCAAGACTGGACAAATGGAGACAGCAAATTTGGGACAGGGCCAATTCAAGACAGGGACAAATTGAGACAAAAACTATCATAATGAGAAAAGGAATCTCCTTAGGTTGGTTCAAAGATTTGAGTTTTTCCTTGATGAGGAAAACTCACTTGACAGTGATGATGCACAAAAAGGATGCACTTTACCAAATAGTGACATTTTTCTTCATTTCTACACCTCAAACATAAGATAATAGGGAGTAACAGTCACGTCATTTTGTCTCAAAATTTCTAAAATTCTAAAAATGTATTTATCTGAATTTGTCCATGTCTCAACAAGTTTCAGTCTCAAATTGTCACTTTCTCCAACGGTTTCTGTCTCAAATTGTCCTTGTCTCAAAAAGTTTCCGTCTAAATTTGGCCCTGTCTCAATTTGACCAAGATCCACAGTCAACCCTGGATTTAGTCCCAACCCCACATACTGCCACAAATTTCCATGGAACAAATTTTCGTTCTTCAGAGAAGAGTCATCAGAGATTCAGCTCGTCACTATAAGCAAAATTTCTACAACTGGGTACATCTCAAAAGTGCTGCTGATCCTCTGAGCATTCTCACAGAAAGCAAATGAACATGGCAGTAAATTTGTAGAAACTTCTTTCAATTAGTCAAAAAATTGTCACCCCACAACAATGAAAAGTGAAGTGATCCGAGGATTCTTTCGTGCTAACCAATTGAGCATCAAAAATAGGCCTTATTAGCAACTTTCAGGTTTCCGCTTTCTTTAGCGAGAATCTTTCCATTTCACCGGAATTTGGTAAAACGTCTAAAAGGGAATTCTCAAAACCACTTTCTTCAACTGCTTTACTTCCAGCCCACGTTACGTCATTAATTTTTAATTTTACCTCCGTCCACGTGGATAAATCCGAACCCACATTCCTTTACTTTCAAAAATTCTCAAAGCCACGAGGCAAAATTAAAACCGTGAAATGCTCAGTCACTCACTAATTTTTGCCACGTAAATCGTTTTTCTTTAATAAAAAAAATAAATCCACTGAGTAAGTCTTGATGAAGATACACATCCTCGCACCCTTCACTGAATAAAAAATTAGAAAATCCGTCATCTTCTTCTGGTTACAACGGGATTGTTATTATTTTCTAGCAAAACAAGTTGCTAAAAATTTAGAGCCAGGTTTCATTTCACTTCCAACAATGGTTTGAAGGAAATCGACAGCATCAAACAAGAAATGGAGCTTGTGGCATGCTTCGCGTGATCCAGAGGACTGTAAAAATTATTTTTTCCCCAATTCCACGCTTCAGCAAAATTTAGGATACAGTAGTCCTCTCACGTCAATATTAAGACACGGTCACTGAACACGTGGTAAAATCAGGCATATCACGGAATGCAATCCCTAAAAAAAAAAAAAACACCCACACATTGGCCTCTTCCATGTGGTGCGTCATCCTCGGAACGTTCGGGAAAATGTCGTTCTGCGTGAAATCCGTCTTCTCCTCAAACGGCACTTCACACCTGCATTCTTTATTCGAGTGCAGCCGCAACAACTTCCGGTTCCACTCGGAATTGAGGGACCACCGGGATTCGCCAGGCGCCAACCCTTGATGGAGCCGATGCTCCATCGGTTCTTGCCTGCGGGCATCACGTATCGCAGTCAGGGCATACCACGTGTCTCGAGACAAAAACCGCACGCGGTAGCCATCTTCCTGGGAACCTGGCAAGACGAGGGAGGTTTCTCAATCATCTTTCATTTTCTTCATGGTCTTCAGCTGGAAGCTAATCAAGTACAGTACAATACTTGGGGAGTTCACGAAGAAATTAATATCGTTTAGCATCTAAACAAGTTCGACGCGTCAAGTCTCCAACGAATCAAAACCAGTATTTCTGTATTTACTAAGTACCACACGCACATTTTTCTTTTTCAAATGCAAGAGTAAAAAAGGGGTTGCACATCATAAACGGGTATGAATTTTCCAAGAAGTTTTAGAAGTTTAGGTGTGCATCATACTTAATTCTATCAGGAAATTGTGGACCAAGTGTACCCGAAAAACGCATTGTAATGGAAATACAGTAATTGAAAATTACTTCAGTTGAATCCAGGTTCAACTCATGTCTAAAATTGGAATTTGATAGTTCTTATTATTGAAATACCGTAGTTTTATAGTCACTGAAAGGGGGGTGCAGTCTTACTTGAAAGAATGAATGAATGGAACACTGTATTTCCCACTTTTAAGCGTTCACATGGTTCAATCAAGATTTCCACACCCAAACCCTCTCTTACTTGAGAATAACCATTCAACTAAAGTTTTGACTGAAAAACCCTGGTGTGCATCCCACAAGAGAGCACATGATACTCAAGTATATATGGTACTTTGAAATGAAACGCGCAAAAACTAATTGTTATTGCAAAAATCAATGCTTATTGGACTTACAGTGAGACTCTGATATGCCGACACCCCAATATACAGACAATTCGACTTCGGGACACTTGAAAAATAAATCTGGCCTGACACCTGGGAATAAGTGGCTCAAGTTAGGGACACTTCCCTGAAATTTTTCCAAAAATTGATATAGTACATTTTATTTTTCAATTTTGATATCTTTTGAACAAATCAAGCTATTTATAATTACAAAAATTGAAAAAAAAATTTCATGATAAATTCACTCTACTTCATAATCAAAAGCAAGCTAATTTTGTGCTGCTTCTAGATTTGTTTCTATAATCTGTGCATATTCTAGCAAGACTTATTCTTTTCTGTGATCTCCTTTTGATAACAGAAGTTCAGATTCTATGTGGTTTATTTCTGCATTGTTGTTTTCTACAACTAGAAGTCGAAGGAACGTTTTTTATTACATTTTTTGATGACTATTTCTAATTTTTGCAAAAAGAAGAACCAATTAAATACATTAGCATTAGAAGTCTAGGAAAAATTGAGGCTTGACTCAGGGACATTCCAACATCAGGAGACTCTTGATGCATCAATTATGTCTGCATCTGGGGGTCTCACTGTATTTTCATGCCAGAAGGGTATACAGTACTGTATTCTGCATGATTTTCTTTTGTGCAGTCATTAACCGCATCTTCAAGTTGAGAAAAACATTTCTTAGTCCTGTTTTTTTTCAGAATTATTTCTCAAAAATTAGAATTAATCAAAGATGTTCCCATCAAAGACTGTGGGAAAATTTAATCTGACATGCAAATGTTCCAGCATGTAGACAAGGTCCAACAACCGATTATGTCCACAGTTTATGTCACCACTTTCGTTAATACAGTTGGACTCGCACTACAACAATCTTGTCTATGACGATTTTTTGTGTGTGGTCCCATAGAGTTCTAACCCCATATCATAGGGGTTCTCTATCTCTATGATGATTTTTTTCTGGTCTTCGAATTTTGTTGAAGAGGTAGTCCACCTATATTTTATTTGGATGGATATGTTATTAATAGGCAAATATACGTCACAGATGATGAACAACGCATAGACGGAATTTGAATTAATACCTCAAAACTTGAGAAAGGAATAATCCATGAACAGGTCATGTTCTCTACAGTTACGAACAGGCGGTATTTCATTTTTTTCCCCCCAAGGATTGACGTGGTCGAATTTTTTATTGGCGAGCAGAGTTTCCTTGGAGAACATACCAAAATTTGCCATGACTCTTCTCATAGAGTCTCTCAGCATTTCAATAACAACTCGGCTTCTGGTGATTCTTGGTGCTCTCGGGAAATTTCTGAACACGTCCTCATCCTCACCTCGGACCACCCGGTCAATGGAGTCTTCAACCATAGCCTCCCTCACCTGCGCATAGAAACATACACAATGCAAAACACAGCCATTAATGTTTATTCCCTCCAGTATCTCTTTGGTACTGTAGCTATATCAACGAACTAGCAGCATTCTAAAAAAAATTATAAAATTCTCAAGAGTGTCCAAGTGGTATAATTATTGCAGTGTGAATATATTGGTTACTGCATCACCACAGCAATTTCTTTCATCATGCCCAGCATTCAACAGCATCAGAATTCAACTTTTAAAAAACTTAGGATTCTCACAACTTGAAAAAAAGAGGTTTTCCCGCATCTCGGAAGACCAGGAAGAACATTAAGCTATACAGTATATGATTTCTCATTCAAGATTCTCTCTAAAATGTTTGATCAATCAAAAATCATTTGGAAACAGGCTGAACACCTTATGCTTTAATTTCTGCTCTGTAATTGCCTTCTGCTGCGATTTTCGTCATAAAAATTATGGCAACTTAACATTCCTGCATTTGTAAGTACAGTACTGTGAGACCCCAACATGTAGACACCCTCAAATATACATGATTTGACTTTGGGACATTTGAAACTCAAAAAATCTGACCCAATATCTGAACATGGCTTGAGATAGAGACACTTTGTAAAAATTTTCCAGAAATATAAAAATTTCATTTTCTAAACATTGACATTTCTTGGATAAAGTGAGCTACATATGTTTTGAAAATACATTCCATTATAAATTAAACCTAATTCATAATCAAAAATGGGCTGACTTCGTGCTTCTTTTCTCAGAGTTATTTTGAATCATCTGTGCACAGTATACCAAGACTTACTTTCGTTCTTTGATTTTTTAATCTGAAAATCGGATTTAATGTTGTTTCCTTCCGCACAGTTATATTTTAACTCTTGATTCTTTAAATTGAGAGAAATAGAATCTATTACATTTTTTGTGGAACTTATTACGAATTTTTGATGAACAGGTGAACCAAATAAAAATGTTTGCATTGAAGTCCATGGGAAAATGTTACCCAACATGGGGACAAGATCTAAACGCCAATTACATCTGCATCTTGGGGTCCCACTACTGTAATGTATTTTTTTTTCATGCCAATCTAGGAAATTTTTCTCCTTTCGATACGCCAAAATGTGTTAAATTGTGCGTGGGTGGGGGTACAGTAAACCGTACGTGGGAAAACATTTTTTTCCAACCTTATGAATGCTGACAAGTGGCAAATAAAACTTTTACTGTATATCAATCAAGCAATCAATCAATCACGATGTCTGCATTTTCCCTTTTCCAAATGGAAAATAAAAATAAAGAAATCCCCTACAAACCTGGATATCTCTTTGTTCGTCATTCCACAATTCGCCAGCGGGATCCTGAACGTCTCCACTTGCGCTTAGACGCCGAACTATCGGTTCCCCATCTCTGTGTCTCGGATTCCACATCGGTGGTCTCTCCGTGCGAACGAGCAACGGCACAAACAACTCTGGCCCTTCATCTGAAGACGAGTCTTCACTGTGATGATGAGCCTGGCTATCCAACCGCCTGCGTTTCAGGCACTTTCGTTCGAAGGCATCGTTTTTAGGATTCGTCTTGTGACAGATCCTCGGCCCATCAATGTCATGAACACAGGTGAACTAAAAAAAAAAAGACAAAAAAATAAATGATCGAAGACAACCCTCATCATCGAAAACATTTCATAACGAAAATCCGCAAAAAAAGTCGAATTTGTGACCCCTTGAGACTATGTTTCAAATTAAACAAATGTTCTTGTGGGGCAAGAATGCTGGGGAAAAACCCAGTGAAGGTGTTCCCTCTTCTCTGCTCCATTTAGGCTTGATCTCTCTCGCATTTAAGTATTGAATTCCCTGCTATTCAGCGAACCACATCCACTTCTCACGTCGTTTGTCCAGTGGGCGACATAATCCAGTGTTCTTATCTCAGCTTGAATGATTATCCGACATAGGAGTAATTTACAGGAGATGATTGATGAGACATAATAAAATTCTTCAAGCAAAAATAATCCAGTGTTCATACTCCAGTTTGAATTGACCATGCGACAGAAAATCAATTCGAAAAATACTGTACATCACGCGGAACTTAGGTTGCCCTGGCATATACCATGATAATTTTTTCCTGAATGCCAGGACTTCAACTTAAGAATCAAAACTCAAAATGAGACATAATAAAACCAGGTAGCTGACGTAATTTAGTTTTCAAATCCTATTTTGAATGATTATGCGACAATAGAGCAAACAAACAGACAGACAAGAAAGTGAGTTCATAAAAACGTGGTAATAAAATGATGGCAACTTAATATTCCTGCATTCGTAAGTACTGTGAGACACCAACGTGCAGACACCCTCATATATGGATGATTTGACTTTGGGACATTTGAAACTCAAAAAAAATCTGCCACAATATCTGGACATGGCTTGAGATAGGGACACTTAAACAACATTTTCCAAAAATATAAAAATTTAATTTCTAAACTTTGACATCTCTTGGACAAAGTGAGCTACATATGTTTTGAAAATTTTGAAAATACATTTCATTATAAATTCAACCTAATTCATGATCAAAAATGGGCTGATTTTGTGCTTATTTTCTCAGAGTTATTTTTCATCATCTGTGCACAGTATACCAAGACTTTTTTGTTGTTGTTTGATTCTGAAAGATCACGTTCAATGTTGTTTCCTTCTGCACATTTAATTTTTAACTCTTGAAATTGAGAGAAACAGAATCTGTTCAATTTTTTTAAACTTATTCCTAATTTTTGATGAACAGGTGAACCAAATAAATAAGTTTGCATTGAAGTCTATGGGAAAATGTTACCCAACATATGGACAAGATCTAAACGCCAATTACAATTGCATCTTGGGGTCCCACTACTGTAATGTATTTTCTTTTCATGCCCATCTAAGTAATTTTTCTCCTTTTGATACGTCAAAATGTGTTAAATTGTGCGTGGGTGGGGGTACAGTATATGTGGGAAAACAGTTTTTTCCAACCTTATGAATGCTGACAAGTGGCAAATACAACTTTTATATCAATCTAGCAATCAATCAATCACGATGTCTGCCTTTTCCTTTTTCCAAATGAAAAAATAAAGAAATCCCCTACAAACCTGGATATCTCTTTGTTCGTCATTCCACAATTCGCCAGCGGGATCCTGAACGTCCCCACTTGCGCTTAGACGCCGAACTATCGGTTCCCCGTCTCTGTGTCTCGGATTCCACATCGGTGGTCTCTCCGTGCGAACGAGCAACGGCACAAACAACTCTGGCCCTTCGTCTGAAGACGAGTCTTCACTGTGATGATGAGCCTGGCTGTCCAACCGCCTGCGTTTCAGGCACTTTCGTTCGAAGGCATCGTTTTTAGGATTCGTCTTGTGACAGATCCTCGGCCCATCAATGTCATGAACACAGGTGAACTAAAAAAAGACAAAAAAATAAATAATCGAAGACAACCCTCATCATCGAAAACATTCTATGACGAAAATCCGCAAGAACAAAAACTAGAATTGGTGACCCCTTTAGAATATGTTTCAAATTAAACAAATGTTCTCGTGGCGCAAGAATGCTGGGGAAAAACCCAGTGAAGGTGTTCCCTCTTCCCTGCTCCCTTTAAGCTTGATCTCACTTTCATTTGAGTATTGAATTCCCTGCTATTCAGCGAACCACATCCACTTCTCACGTCGTTTGTCCAGTGGGCGACAAAATCCAGTGTTCTTATCTCAGCTTGAATGATTATCAGACATAGGAGTAATTTACAGGAGATCATTGATGAGACATAATAAACTTCTTCAAGCAAAAATAATCCAGTGTTCATACTCCAGTTTGAATTGACCATGCGACAGAAAATCAATTCGAAAAATACTGTACATCACGCGGAACTTAGGTTGCCCTGGCATATAGCATGATGATTTTTTCCTGAATGCCAGGACTTCAACTTAAGAATCAAAACTCAAAATGAGACATAATAAAACCAGGTAGCTGACGTAATTTAGTTTTCAAATCCTATTTTGAATGATTATGCGACAATAGAGCAATTTAAAGGTGACGAGACATGAGAAAATTCCTACAGTAGACATAATTCACCGTTCATCCTCTAGTTTGAATTATAATTCAACAGAAGATCAATTCGAAAAATAAACCAAACGGAACTTGAATTTACCCTCGAACACAGCACGATCCCTCCCCGAATTTTTCACGAAAAAATTCCAGGACTTCAACTAGAGAATCAAAAACTCACTTCGGCATTGAGAGAATTTGTGTTGTGTCTGCTGATGCAGCGTTTCCCGTCAGGATGTATCACAAGTGATGATATAACACAGGCCTCGTTGCCACTAGGGAAGTCCGAAATGAACTCGAGCCTGTTCCTTTCGGCCAGGAACAAATGCCCGTACTTCATCTGCTCCTCCAACGGGATTCCACTCACTTGCATGAGCCTATACATGTTTACCTGCAGAAGTACACGAATATTCCGTTTCGAAAAATTTAAAAACAAAAAAACCACGAGATTTATAAGAAGGGACGCACTTTGACACCACGATACTGTTCCCGCATCCGCCAAATGTCCAAGTCATGAAAAACCATTATGAATCCCGAAGAGTTCGAGACTATCATTTTCGAGGCATCAGGAGTCACAGTCATTCTCATCAAACCGCTGATGTCAATTATTTGCGTTGGTTCGATCATTCCTCCGGCATTGAACCTGAAAAAATGCGAAACAGAGATGAAACAACTCTTTCTACTCATTTTAATTCCCTTGATAACTGGAGAAACAGGAAAAAAGTTACGGAAAGTTCTCGATCGCCAGATTTATCTGTCTGCCGACTTCGAGAAATTACGTGAAGTGTTCGGAAAATGAAACATGCAGAGACTTCGAAACCTGTTCGGGAAAAAGTTCTGCAAAATTTTTGCAGCATGACGAAGCACAAATGCTGCAGCAAATTGTTCGCAGTTCAATTTTGTTTAGAAATAGATGAAATTACTTCTTCAGATTGAAAAGTAATGCGGAATAAAACGACGTCAAAGTGATCCCACGATGCCTTTTCATGGGGGAAAAACTTGCTGAAAAAATACGTCAATAATTGTCAAAAACATGAAAACAACAAGAGCTGTAAACTGAACCTGAGCAACTCGTAAAAAACTGCCTGAGAAATTCATTCAATTCGAAAGTTTTTTGATCATAAATATTGCACTCAAAGATTCCCAAAATATTCTTCCGCCAAAACTTAAAAGACTTCACGCAAAACCTTGAATTGTGGAGTAATTACACACAACGCGGCACCAATAAAACGCAAGATGATGATCAAAATAATAAATTTTTAGCGACAACAAATTTTGAAGAAAAAAAACCAACCCACCGGTTCATCTCCCAAGCAAATATGTTGCCGTCAAACGCGGAAGAAAGCAACGTTCTGGATTCCTTGATGTAGGCGAGACTCTTGACCCAGGCATCGTGACCATGTAGACAGTGAACCTTGTCGGACATGTTCCTGATATCCCATACATTGATCTTTTGGTCATCGCCTCCAGTGACAAACATGCGTGAATCCAAGAACCGCACACAGTTGACGCAATGATCATGCGCCTTTGGTCTCTCGCTCACGATGTTCTGTCTGGCAGGATCCAACACTCTGATAGCTCTATCTGAACACGCTGCGATCAGATATTTCCTGCAAATTTAGAAGGTTAGGTATGAATTGAAAAAAAACGTGCTACGTCACCGATAAATGGCGAACAGTCCGCTCAAGAATTCAAAACAGAGCGGAGAAAATTAGACCTATTTTTCGGCCAATTGTAGGCCGAAAAATCAAATATAAATTCCACTGCGACGCCAGGTGACGCCGACTTCACTATAGATGAGGTGTCATTACAATCGACGAAACGAAACCTAACCTACTTAGCATATAGATCCCAGTTTCTCACTGCATAATTACACTTTGGAAAGCTCATAGCAAGGCATGCTTCGATCAAAATCGAATCTTGCTCACCCTTCCGGTGAAAATTCAAGGTTGTAGACACTGTAGCTGTTTTCGGTCAGCCGCTCCCTGCCTTGCGGAAACCCCCTTGGCTTGAATCTGGAGAACAGGTACTTGTAGAACTTGTTGTCGAAACCGAGTTCGCGCTTAGCACCAACACATCGATCATAGGTAACATAGTTCATGTAGTCCCACTTTCCCATCTGCGCACGTACAAGAACACACACATAAATATACATTTCGAGTTTCGTGCGTACCTCGTGAGGCAGTTTTCGACTCAATTTTAATTATCTTGTTCATTCTGAAGTTTGGATTTGCCCAGCGCGGGAACACAAGAGACTTTCTGGGCATGAACCTTTCGCTATTATCCAGATCAGACCATAAACATAAGTCGGATCTGAGCTTTTATCGAAGATTGAAAGCTTGAAACCTCTCCATAACGGTCTTTCATTGCTTTCTAACGTTACCAAGACCAAAAATCTCCAGGCTACAATTCTGAAGAGGTGAAGGAAAAACAGCATCAAAATTTGTGCGAGGCCAGATTGAGAATTTTCGAGACATAAATTCGGTTTAGAGAACTGACGCAACGAGTGGAGGGCAAAATTGTCCACAGAAAATGGACGGTTTCGATATCATCCGATGAGAATTATCACGATCATCAGCAAGGCACTTATCTTGGTCATTTTGGTTACATACACCCTGGTTAACGATTCATATCAAGACATAATCACAACTAACGAGGAAAATATGGCTCGTCATGAAATCAATATTTTCTCTCTCACGATTCAGCCCGGTGAGTTTCTTCAATATTCAAATCGGACTCAGCTCAGCTCAGGCGTTCGATTCGCAGCAGGAGCTGTCGATCATTTCAAATCACACCGTTACATACAGTATTCGTGCATCTAACAAGAAGCAATGACTGCTTTCGAGACCAATACACAGAGGTAACTTTCGGAACTCTTCGGGTTGTGCGTCGAAACTCGTCATCCCACTTCCTACTGCAGTTTAGATCACTCGATCTACAACAATCACACTAAATAGATCTTCCGATTATCATCATCACCAACCGAAGTTTATCAGGTGACTTTGGCTTCTTGATTCGAAGCTACATGAGCAACCAGGTTTTTGCCGAAACATCCATCACGAACAGGCGTTGTTCACAACCATGTTCAGGCAAGCTAAGATATACGAAAACCATCCTCGGAAAACTCACACTGAGCAGAAAAATCGGAAAAATATCGCAACCGTCGCAATTCAATTAGTGTCGGGTATTTTTTTGCTTCGGCTTCAAGTGACACACTACAGCGATCTTCCAGGTATTTAAAAGCCTCCAAGACAGGAATAAAGCCAAAACGCTGGATAAATATTCCAAGAACCGGAGCTTTTCTAGCACACAGTTTAACAACACAGAGAAAATACTGTCGGCATACAGAATTCCGAAAAGCTGGGAGAAGAATGCAGCGGAAAACGCACCGTATGGCACGAAAAAAATCTACCCTAAGCAACATCCGAACTCCACTGCACGATTCACCAACCTTTGGCCTCACTACAACGCTTCATTATCTCAGTAGAAAATTGTCCAACGACCGGCAATCCACTGCGCTAATCCGTTCATCACCACATGCAATTCTTCAACTAACATTCACGGCACTCTCGTCGCACTAGAACGAGATCGACGATCCAAACGCCGAACAGTCGAATGCTAACCTTCTCAACATGGTGACAAAACAGAACGGAAACGGAAGTAGCAGGAACCGTAGCTTTTCTTGCACTATCATTTCCTAGATGTCACGTCTCAAATACGAATTACCGTACTTGTCGGTGCTTGTCCATATAGTTTTCTGCATCATCATACAGCCAGCAGCATAATTGCAAAACTGTCATGTTTTTCAGGTCGTGCAGTTTATCGGCACGGACGGCAGCCCTTTTAATGAGATTCTGCTGACAGAATCCGCCCGGGGAATAACGGATAAGTATACACGGCAATCCATTGATTTGCTGCTCTAACGCGAACCAGGAAAATAATATGCTTATAGCAAGTGCGCTATTCAGTATCGTACGAAACATTTTACAGTATTCAACAACGAAAACTTCCCGGAAATCGTAGAGACTAAAGTAGACCCATTACAAATTTTTAACGTAATAAAGACACGCATTAGACAGACCTTTGAAAAAAACAAGCAAAATGAATTACAGTACAGTACTGTTATGAGCTGACATGATACATGTAAAGCGTTTCTATCAACTCATCACAGAGCAGCAGTCAGAGAAGAGAAAAAAAACATTGGTCGTCCGATCTACAGTATTTGCTTGATTTCCAAGAAGTTTCCTCCCGAAATTTACCGAGAAAATGCATTTATTTGCTCATGTTCATATTAGGCAATATAAACAAACCACAAATGTCTCGAACATTATTGTCATCATTAATTGATTGCAGCTGAAAAGAGAGTGAAAACGGAGAAACAAAGAACCATCCTTATTTCTGAACTAAAAGAAAACGATTATACAGCATAACTCTATATATACATCAGTCAAAGTCTGCTTAAACGAATCTCCCACTTATTATGACGAATTTTATTTCTATGGTCCTATAAACAGAAGCAGGTTATCTCATATAGAGGAACAAATATATAAAAATTGCAATAATTTACAGCTTAGAACCGCAATTATGCATTTATATCTCAGCATGTTTTCAAAATTGATAGAATAAGTGATGTATTTTTAATATTTATTCAAGTCCTCATCATGGTCCCTCGATTTTTTGTCGTATTTAAACTGGCTACGTTGACAAAAAGGGAATCCATTTGTCTCAATCCATGAAAGTACAGTATTTTCAGGGTCATTTATCTCCAGAAAAAGGCGAAAAGATTTGCCTTAAAAGGGTATTTTTAACATTTTTGCACTGAGGATTCATGCATATTTATCATTGCCACAGGAAACTTTCTCCATTTATATTTGGTTCTTTCTCTTTCCCTCGCTGTGAGACATGGGAAAAGTTTCAAACCAGTGACGAAAAAAAAATACTGAGGCGAGGGGCTTTCGAATTGAAAATGAATAAATAAAAAGAAGTTGAGCGGAAAATATGTTATATAGTGCTTGTGGGAAACCGAGCACACGAAAAACAGATTTGTTTCCTCTTCTTTTTTTCTGCTGCTGAGGTTGAGAAAGAAAGTAGAGCAACACATTTTTTCTGCTCTGATCCATCTCCAATAATATTCTTCCTCTTCTTCTTCATGCTGTCTTGCATTATTTGTTTATTCTTCTTTTCATCTGCTTTATATGTATATATGTATATTCCACTTTTATATAAGTCCCACTTTTTCTCTCCACCTCATCATCAAGTGGGGATTTAAAAGGGCTGATTTTGGAGCCACTGGGTCCAGTGTTCCTTGCTACTGACTAGAGTGAAGTGTGCTGGGTGATTATCAAGTCTCATTTTTTTAAAGGGTTGCAAAAATGACTAAAGTTTCGCTTTTGGTGAGTGAAATTTTGTTTTATGTGAAGTGATTTTGTCAACATATGCAATAGAGTGAGATTTGAAAAACAATTGGATTATCTGGATTAGGTTTTCCTGACTGGTGTGATCTGCTGCCTGGTGTTGGTAGCTGGTAAAAATAAAAAGAAGTTGAGCGGAAAATATGTTATATAGTGCTTGTGGGAAACCGAGCACACGAAAAACAGATTTGTTTCCTCTTCTTTTTTTCTGCTGCTGAGGTTGAGAAAGAAAGTAGAGCAACACCTTTTTTCTGCTCTGATCCATCTCCAATAATATTCTTCCTCTTCTTCTTCATGTTGTCTTGCATTATTTGTTTCTTCTTCTTTTCATCTGCTTCATATTTATATATGTATATTCCACTTTTATATAAGTCCCACTTTTTCTCTCCACCTCATCATCATGTGGGGATTTAAAAGGGCTGATTTTGGAGCCACTGGGTCCAGTGTTCCTTGCTGCTGACTAGAGTGAAGTGTGCTGGGTGATAATCAAGTCTCATTTTTTTAAAGGGTTGCAAAAATGACTAAAGTTTCGCTTTTGGTGAGTGATTTAAAACAAAATACACTTCACTAAAACAGTTGTATACGTTATCTCACTCTAAACTTTTTGTTAACCTAATAGACCTAATCCAAAAGGACTGACCACACTAGACGACGGACCACAACCATCGACCATGGCCTCAGGATTTGCCTGCTGATGAGGATGCTGTTTATGCTGATGAAGGTATAAAGATCATTCATGATCATATATTTAAATACATATATTTTTTCAAAAATGTTTTTAAGAAAAAAAAAAACTTTATTACAGCTGTGGTTTCTTTTTTTGCATTAAAGTATACTGTATATAGTCAATCCTTGAGTTTTAAACTTATTCAAGGAAATTTATACATGTCCTGCTTGGATTGAATTATTGTACTGCTATAATGTAGAGAGATACATTTTGAAGTGTTGAGAGAGTTATAACCACTAAACACACTCAATCTCAAAGTCTGGCCCATAATCTGGATAAGGTCTCTAGATATATGATGGATACTTTCCATAAAAAGAAAAAAAATCTTTGTTCAAACAATTAAGAAATGCAGGCATATCTTTTGAATTAATTGATCTTCTGCCATGGAAAAAAATTAAAATTTCAAATGGAAAAATTGAAAGGGTATTCTTTATCAAATAAATTTACTCAAACTTATTTCCCAAAGCTGGATAATTTTGTGCATGGGGCTTTTTCCTTGAGTTGTGATGCTTGAAATATTTTTGTTTCTTGCCTCTTTGAATCTTTTCCAAGTCAATAGGACAGATATTCTGTGTATTTTTCTTCCAGGAAGTTATTTTACAAATTTTGAATGTCATTAAAAACATTTTCATGGCCTTTTTATTACCCCCTGCTTTCCAATTTTTTTTCCAAAAATGAGAAGTGATTGAAAGTGTTTTCAATAATGAAGTTTATGGGGAATAGTGTGATGTGACATCTGTATGATGGCCATAAAGTGTATACCTACTTAGGAGTCTTATTCATGACATGACATTAACCTAGGTGTAGAACTTTTAATACAAAAATTAGGTCATCAAAATGATTACATAGAAATAGTCTCTTGTCACATTGTATTTGAAGCAATTGTTTGATATCAAGGGTATTTTGCTAAAGAAGTAAGACATACATCCATATAACCAAAAAATAATTACAAAAAATACCAAAAAGATGAAAACAATGAATAACAAGAAAAAAATTAC